AGAAAGCCCAGCTTGGCCATATTTCATAGAATGGGGCCCAGAGACTTAGTGCCCCCTCGTCCTTCACCACTGCAATCCCTCAACAGCATGATGCTGTACTCAAATACATTAAGGAAAGTCAGAAACCACTGAAGTTGGCTAAACTTGATGGTTCTGAGGTTAGAGGAAGCATGTTGGTCATCCTTGACCACAGGACCCACACCGCTGATGTCACTGATGTAACTGTACTTTTGGTTAATGGATACTCTGCTTTTCAATCAGCCATATTGGGAAAAATTGAAAAATACCAATTAGTGTGCCAGCATGTGACACAGGAAGGCTGTAGAGAATATGGTAACCCAGTGATAGTGGAGTTCTGGGAGGCTCTTTGGGACTGGGACCCAGTCTAAGACTGCCCTATCCAGTTCGAAAATCAGTCAGAGGTATACAAATCTTACAGACCCACCAGGTGAAGCATATACAAATATACGGAGACATACAAAGTTATGTTGTTGTTAAGTTGTGTCTGACTCTTTGTGACCCCATTTGGGGTTTTCTTGTCGGAGACACTGCAGCGGTTTGCCATTTCCTTCTCCAGCCCATTTTACAGATGAGGAAACTGAGGCAAACAGGGTTAAGTGACTTGCCCAGGGTCACATAGCTAATCAGTGTCTGAGGCCAGATCTGAACCCAGGAAAACTTCCTTCCTGACTCTAGGTCCAGGACTCCATCCACTGCACCACCTATACAGTCGACCATATTACTGAGGTGAGATAACGTATGGAATAAATATAAATTTAGGATGAGGAGTGTTTCGTTCGTAATTTTTAGCAAGGCATAAGTAATTTTATCTTCTTTCACTTTCAGAAGTGAGCATCATTATAATTTGATCCCCTGAGGCCACTGGTCAAGTGGCTTTCTCAAAGTATTCAGTGATCAGGCACAGCTAGGTGGTGCAGAAGATAGAGCACCGGCCCAGGATTCAGGAGGACCTGAGTTCAAATCCGGCCTCAGACACATAACATTTACTAGCTGTGTGACCTTGGGCAAGTCACTTAACCCCACTGCCTAGGCCCCCCCCCCCAAAAAAAAGTATTCAGTGATCACATACTGCTTAAATCCAATTCCCACTATCACCTTCCTGATGTCATGGCCCTCTTTGCGAACGAAGGACAAACAACATTACTTCTCTAAAAGGCTACGGAATCACTATTGCTTACCAGAGAGTGCTCACCCAACTCTTAGACCAGGAACGTGGCGCACTGGGTGCTGGCCCTGACTTCAGCTGAGAACTAGCAGCAAGATCTAGAATAAGTTCCCAAAATAACAAAATAGGAAAACTTCTGTCTCTACTCTTGAGCCTCTCCATTGCTGGAAAGGGGGAAAGCTCTCATAACTCATTTAATTTCAAGAATTTGGACGCTACGCCATTTGGTGAACATATGGTCAGTATTTATATTACTTCATTGTCTATGGTATCATGTAGCAAAATATAGTTTCCCTGATTATTTATTTTAATCAGATCCAGTTTTGATTTTGCTTTGCCCAAGATCACGATCGCTATCCCTGCCTTTTTCTTTTTACTTCACCCAAGGCATAACAGATTCTGCTCCAGCTTATTTTAACTCTGTTTGTGTCTTTCTGTTTTAAGTATGTCTCCTGTAACCAACATATTATTGGATTCTAGCTTCTAATCTATTTTGCTTTCTGCTTCTGCTTTATGGGTGAGTTCATTCCATTCACATTCACAGTTATGACTGCTAACGCTGCATATCCTGCCATCCTATTTTCTTCTTTCTTTTTTTACTGCCTCCCTTAATCTACTCTACCTACAATCCTCCCCACACACACTTTCTTAGCTCCTCCCTCTCCTATTTCTCCATAGGCTAAGATGAATTTCTGTACCCAGCTGTGTGTGTATATGTATTCTTCCCTTCTTGAACTAATTCACATGACAGTGAAGTTCAAGTATTGCCTGCTTCCCGCTCCCTCTATTTTCCCCTCCATTGTAAAAACCATTTCTCTCTTGCCTTTTTTTATGTGAGATAATTTCCCCCATTCTTATTCTCTTTCCTCTTCTCCCAGTGCATACCTCTTTCCCACCCTTTAATTCTTCTTTTGACGTCATTCCAACATAATTGACTCACACCCATGTCCTCTGTCTCCAGACTCCATCCAAGTGCCCTAATGATGATAAAGTTCTTACATCATCTTCCTATACAGGAACACAGTTTAACCTTGGTAAAATGCCTTATGATTTATCACTCATGTTTACCTTTTTATGCTTCTCTCGAGTTTTGTGTCTGAATGTCAAATTTTCTATTAAGCCCTGTTCTTTTCATCAGGAATGCTTTGACAGTCTTCTATTTCATGAAATATCCATTTTTCCCTTGTAGGATTATGCTTAGATTATTCTTGGTAGATTATTCTTGGTTTCCTAGCCCTCTGCTCCTTTATAGTGGTACTTGCTAAATTTTATATGTGATGCTAACTGTAGCTCCAGAGTATTTGAACTCTTTCTTTTTGGCTGTTTTCAGTATTTTCTCCTTTACCTTGGAACTCTGGATTTTGGCTACAATATTCCTGGGAGCTTTCATTTTTGGATTTCTTTCAGGAGGTGACTGACGGATTCTTTTACCAAAGGAAGGGGGTCTTTTGCCATCTCACTTCTGCTAGGCTGTTACTCTTCTTCAATGACAATGTGAGTCAGCTCTTTCAGGAGAGTTTGCCCTTAATTTCTTATAGTGAACTCAGTGAATAACCCCACGATAGAGCAAAGCAGGGTGGGATGGACTGCATGTTTTTAATTTCTTCAATGTGGGCAATAGATTTAAGAAACTTATTTCTAAAGGAGCATGGGCAAAGCTGGCATGTAAGGTTTTTAAATGACGGCTCAAAAGTCAGTTTAAAGGTAAATGAATGAAAAAGCATTTATTAAGCACTTATTAAATAATGTAAACTGTGCCAAGTGCTGAAGACACAAACGGAAAAAAAGATAATCCCTGCCCTCGAGGAGCTCACATTCTAATTGGACAAGACATTATATATAGGAGGGTGTAGCTGCAAGGCAGGTGGCAAGGCCCAGGAATCCTTGAGGACGCATTATGGTGTCTGCCCCACCAACACTGGTAAAGGAAGACTGGGATGGAGTTAGAGTGCAGAGGGATTCTTGGGTTCCCTCCATCAGGGGTAGGATGGGGTGAACCATGTCTGGGTAGCAAAGGACAATAGGGGAAGGATCAGGAGGGCTGGGGGTGGGCTTTGAGATGGGGAAGGGGGAGGGAAGCCCTGCTTGGCCCCAGCAAGAGCCCTCCAGATACCCTGGTGGGGTTTCGAGTGGCAGGATGAACAACTTCCCTTCTTCCCTTCAATAATACGTAACTATAGGCACACAACCCCAGCCATGTTGCCGGGTATGCTCCCCGGTGCTAGGCATGAAGAGAACTTGGCACACATTTCATCTGTACACCCTACTGACAACTTTCTGCTGCCCTTTAAGGAAGACCTTGCTTGCTAAGCTGCACACAAAAGGCCAGCACACCCCCTTTCCGTCACTGGTGTCCAGCTATGAGATGAGCTTCCATGGGCCTCCAAGACCCCAGGTTTTCCCTCACCTCATGCAGAGCGTCTGATCCTGCTGCTGCTGAAAGGGGCAGCACCAGTGGCCTCCTCTCCCAACCCAGGTCAACACAAAGCCCTGAGCTACAGTCTTGCTGTTGCTTCTTTCTCTATTGAGTCTTTTTTTCCCCCCTGCCTTGGGGGAGGGAATACTGAAGACCGAATGGGTGGAAGACAGAAGACCTTGTGAACTATGGAAGGTAGGGAAAGCCACCAGAGGTCCTGGAACTCTAGAGTCCATGCCAGGGTTTGCAGATGGCCAATCCACCAGCACAGGTGGGATGAGCCACCCGGACCCAGATCAGGGTGGGACTGACTCCAGAGTGAAGATGACAGGTCTAGTAAGTAAGGGATGAACCCTGCTCTTTGTCCGGGCTGCATTCAGAAGGGAACTTGGTGAGGTAGGAGTGGGGATACTTTGCAGCACTGACCCCATTATCCTCAGGGAATGAAACGACATAGAGCAGTGTGCCCCCAGATGTTGGGGGGTGGGTTAGGGAATGTTTCTACTTCCGTTCTTGTCCTATTAATATAAAATGACATCCCTCCACAATTACATCTACAGCAATTTGTGATTTACAAAGGGTACTGCTCACAAGTCAGTGAAGGAGACTGTCAGTACTGTATTACTAAACCCCATCTTACAGATGAAGAAGCTGAGGCTTGGAGTGGGCAGGGCGAACCCACAGCCAACAGCTTAATCGGAACAAGATCCAAGTTCAGGTCTCCTGATGCCAGACCCAGCCCTCTGCCCACTATCCCATCATGCCTCTTTGAACACGTTTGAGGCTCAGAACTAGGAATTTATTTAGCCAGGTTTTTAAAATTCATTCCACAGATGTGGGTAGCTTCACAAACCTTAAAGCACTACATAAAAGCTAGCTATCAATGTTGCAAAAGAAATTCTAGGCCGGGCAGTCACCTCGACAATTATCTCAGCCAATAGCTTTGTTATGAGTGGAAGAAGCTGAGGCCCAGAGAAGAGCAGTGCATTACCTGAGATCCCGTGGTTAGCCAAGGGCAGAACTGGCACAGGACCTCAGGTTCTCAGGACCTCACCCAGGTTCTTTTCCCTCCTAAAGAAATTAGTCTCTTGAGCTCCATTCTCACATGTAACAAGGAGGGGCTAACCGTCAGTACCTTGTCTGTGATGAAGGTAGAAAAGAGAAGGCTCTTCCAGCCGGGCCCAAAGCCATCCCCCTGCCAGGCCTCTTCCAAGAGGGGGAAATCTTCTTTACACATAGATCTTGACCATGTGATGCTCCCACTTGATCAAATACTCCAACTGCCTCTAGGACAGAATACAAAACTCCTCTGTTTAACTTTTTGTCTGGCTAGGCAATGGGGTTAAGTGACTTGCCCAGGGTCACACAGCTAGCATCAAGTGTCCGAGGCTGGATTTGAACTCAGGTCCTCCCTCCTCCAGGGCTGGTGCTGTATCCACTGTGCCTCCTAGCTGCCCCTGTTTAACTTTTAAAGACCAACAACACCTGGCCCCAATCTTTCCTTCTTCATTGGAAATCACTTTCCCTCTGAGGCAGCCACACTGGCCTCCTCTCTGTTCCTCTCACACGCAGGGCTCCATCTACCATCGTCATGTGTTTGCACTGGCTGTGCCCCCTGCCTGGAACACACTCCCTCCTTCCTCCCGCCGTCTTCCCTGAAGATGCGCCTTCAGCATCACCACCTACATGAAGCCCCGCCTGGGCCCCCATGTGCTAGAGCTGCCCTCCCCCAACTACCTTGTAGTTAGCAGCTGCGACTATTCATTTGCTACATATTTAGTATTTCTAGAATGTACTCCTCGTCCCCCCATTAGAATGCCAGGTCGTCGTCGGTACAGATTGTGTTTCTTTTTCTTCCCGAGCTGGGCAAATGAAGACGTAGGAAAGGACCCTGAATTAAGGCAGGAGATGGGTTCTAGTCGAAGTTTAGCACTAACCCAATGGCTAGCTATGGGAAAGACACGGTGTGGAGAACACTAGTGGCCTCAGGGCTAAAGGATCTGGATACAAATCTTGGCTAGGCTGCCCGGTGAGCCAGGGGCCAGGAGGCTCCTTTGGCTGGTGACTCGCTTCGCCTGCCCGACTCCATGTCTCGAAGGATCAGAGGTGGAAGGGATTTGGAGGCTGTCTCATTCAATCTCGTCGTTTTAGAGAGAAGGAAATCAAGACCCCCAGTCTGTTCCCTGAGAGGAAAGGCGACTTGTCCAAGACCACACAAGTAGGAAAGGACCGAACCGGGACCCAAACTGACGCCCGATCCGTCATCCCCCCCCCCCGCCTGCCTGCCTCTCCTTCAGGGAGTCGGTGGCCTCTGGGTCTTTCGGCTCTAAATCGTAGAATACTCCGGGGCCAGCAAAGCCAGAAGGCACAATCATTCGGCTTCACCAAGGGCGCACAGATGCTTTTTGGGGGATGAGGTGGGAACTAATAATAATGGACACTCCTGTAACATTTTAAAGCTAACATACGCAAGCTTATCTGACCCTCACAACGACCCTATGAAATAGGTATTATGATCCCCACTTCACAGATGAGGAACCGGAGGCTTGGAGAGGCTGCTGAGGGTCCAGAACTAGGTTTCAGAAGCAGGATTTGAACCTAGGATCTCCTGATTCCAGGTCCAGCGCTGCCTCTGTCATGCCAGCTTGAAGAGACACTCGGGTTCTCAATGTGGCTAACAATACAAATCACTCCCACTCACATAGAGCTTGAAGGTTTCTCAAAGAGAGATCACGAGTCGACTTTGCACGGCTCCCCGGACACCAGAGATGGGACTTCTCAGGACCACGCTCTCACGCCTTTCTCTGTCGACCTTGGCTTACAAAAAGACCGATCCCTAGCATCCATGAAACGGTCTTTCGGAGGGTAGGGACGACTGACACAGAACATACAAAACATTTCCACCTGCCATCTGCCCCAGGCACTGAAATGGCCACTGCTCACAGACGTAGACCTCAATAGAAAGGCAGAAGGAATCTTAATCTAGCCATTTAAAGTGGATAAAACGAATGCCTACAAGAAATACTTTTTCAATACAAAACTATAAGGGTGAACTCTAAGAAGACTTCATGGGAATTACTCGATAGGGCTCCTTGTGAGTACCGCACCGATTAATTCCTGTCCTAGAGGGATAAGTCAACAAACCACTTTCTTATCATTATTGATTTACAATGTCATTAAGGCAATCAAGAGCAGCACCCCACAGCCATGAGGCAAACACTGTCCATTCTGTGGCTCACGTCTGGGTCGGGCCTACAGCTAGGAAGGGTGTCCAGTCGCTCTAAATCGATGACTTTCGCAAGTCAGTCTTTGAACACCAGAGCCCAAAACTCTTGGGTGGTGAAATTCCGATTCCTCTCTACCAACTGCCGCAGGGCTCGGGCTTCCTTCTTGGACTGCTCAAAGCTCGGGATCCACATCTCCCGAAGAGAGGTCCACTGCAGAGCTGGGATAGGGAAGGCAAAAGCCTGAGGTCTGGGGCAGCTCAGGTGCGTCACATCTGCGTTCCACCTCCTTGGGAGGAAGCCCTAAGAACCAGAGGAGAAGGAAGAGAAAGGCACGTGATGAAGAAGCCCAACGCAAGGCGAGCTACCTACAGAAGGAGGCCCTCTCTCCCCTCCCCTCAGTCTCTGGGTGCAAGCCTTTTTAAAAGGGCTACAAAGAGTTAGACAAAGCACTACAAAACAGAGAAAGAGGGAGGATGCTACCAGTCTGGAGGACATGCAGGGAAGCTTCCTGGAACAGGGAGTGGACTTTAAAGCAAATATCATATTTTCCAGACCACAACCAGATTTCACGAATTCCGAGGTGGTCATTTAACAGTAACTATGAACTACATAAAGGCAGCCTGTCACAGTGCACCCACACACAAAAATCCAATACAAATAGTGACAAAATTCACAAAAAGGTACATGGAAGAAAAAAAATCAATGTTTCTACATATAAAAAAGAAATACATTAAAAAGGTGACACAGAAGCAAACAGTATAGTTTTATCAAAATACACACACATACATGCACACATAATACTTATATTAATATTGATATGACTATTTTATAGACTGTTACTTATGTATCTTATATATTCCATATAAATACACACACATATTTATGTATATTCTAACAAACTGTAAATCCATGTAACACTTGGGGGTGTATAGATCCATACTTTAATCTCCTTCTCCCGACTGTTTTCGGTAGCTGCAATAACTATGCTCAGACTACAGTCAGAACAATGATAAAAAGAGGCTCACGGATTTTTGGCTGAAAGAGTCTTCAGAAGCTGGAAAAGAGTGCCCTACTCGCAGTTCTCAGATGAAGGAATTAAAGCCATCTACAATCATATGAAAAAATGCTCTAAAAAACTACTGATTAGAGAAATGCAAATCAAAACAGCTCTGAAGCACTACATCACACCTATCAGATTGGCCAACATGACAAAACAGAAAAATGATCAATGTTGGAGAAGATGCGGGAAAACTGGAACACTAATGCACTGCTGGTGGAGTTGTGAACTGACCCAACCATTCTGGAGAGCAATTTGGAGCTATATCCAAAGGGCTATAAAATTGTGCATACCCTTTGACCCAGCAATAGCACTTCTAGGGCTGTATCTCAAAGAGATCATACAAATGGGGAAAAGACCCACGTGTACAAATATATTCATAGCAGCTCTTTCTGTGGGGGCAAAGAATTGGAAGCTACGGGGATGCCCATCCACTGGGGAATGGCTGAGCAAGTTGTGGGACATGAATGTAATGGAATACTATTGTGCTATAAGAGATGATGAGCAGGTGAACTTCAGGGACTGTGCTCTGTGTTCTCTCTTACATCAGGCATCTACTGAATGCTGGGGAGAGAATTAGCCAAGTCATGGTCCCTGCTCTCACTGAGCTCAGGCTCATAGGAGAATTAAACAGCAACAGAGAGATAGACTACACATGACATGATAAAAAGTCCACCACAATTAGAAAACAAAAGGTACACGAGGCCTGGAGGAAGAGGGAGGAAGTTCTCTGCCTTGGGGACATGGGGGGAAGCTGCCTGGAACAGGAGCACAAGGCTGGGCTTTAAGGACAGGGTGAAATTCAATTAAGGGAGGGAGGGAGGGCATTCCGGGCCCAGGGCACAGCCTGAGCAGAGATTTGGAGGGAGGAGAAGACACAGAAGATGGGCAGGGGCTCGCCACCATCAGAGATGAGGTTCAGGATCACCAATCTGGCAGCGGTGTGGAGGGTGGGTCAAAGGGGGAGGGGCAGGGAGACCAAAGAGGAAGCCTTGTAATGGTGCAGGATGAGGCGGGGGCCAAGGAAAGGAGAGGAGATGGAATACGGTGGAGGCAGAACCACAAAATGGGAGGACGGATAAAGGAGAGGAAGAGGCAAAAGATGGCCCTGAGGTTGTGCTGCTGGGTGACGGAAGAATGGTGTGGCGGTCACTCCCCGGAAAAGGGAAGCTGAGGGCCCCGTCACTGGCAAGGTGGCAGAGGATCTGTCTTCTTCAAGTCCCTCCGAGCCACAAACCTTCCAGATCAACAGAGCAGAGTTTACTGACCACTCGGCCAATGGAGGCGGCGTCTTCTTTACTGCTGACCAAACGACACTTTTATTTTGGCACAAGGAAGGTCTGCTACATCTGTTGTTCCTCCTGATAAATAACTCAAAGTACATTAATGAAAATTATGTATTCTGATCATTGCAACAGACTCATTTATGTACTAAGGTCCTTGCCAGCTCTAAGCCCACACTCCTATCGTTCGAAGTAAGAGTCGGGGAGGGCATCAAGAAATGAAATAAAATTCTGAAGACAGAACTGCATGATTCTGGAGAGAGAGGAAATCCACCCATCAGTTTCAGTAGTTCTTAACTGTATGATCTTAAGCAAATCATTTACCTGAGTCTTGGTCTTCCCATCTGTAAAATGGGGATAAAAATTAGGTCCATCCACTTCTTACCTCACAGGACAGTTATAAGATTCAAATGAAATTACTCTAGAAAAGTATTTGTAAAGCAAAGCCCACAGAAACGTGTCTTTTTAGTTTTCATAGTTCACAGGATTTGGAGGAGGAAGACAAGCTTCTCGCTGCTGTCTTCCTTGTTCCATTTTTCTTTCCTTCTAAATACCCAACGTAATCTGGATGAGTGCAGAGTAACCGAGGATAAGCCTCAATGAAGAGCCTGCCAGACGCTGGACACCACGCTAGGTGGTGAGGATACAAGTGCAGGTTCAAAGCATGAAGCAATAGCTGCCCACCAGGAACTTACCCTCCAATGGGGAAGAGGAGTAACAATGATGGCTAGCATGCACATGGCACGTGCTTGAAAAATAGCATCTCACTGCAAGTGCTGTTCCTATCCCCATTTTACAGATGAAGACACTGAGGCAGACGGAGATCAATGACTCACCCAGAGTCCCAGCTAGTAAATGTCTGCCACTGCATTTGAACTCGGGCCTTCCTGTCTCCAACTTTACTGCTCTCTCCAACTTTACTGCTCTCTCCCCCTACACTACCTAGGTGCCTATAAATATAAACAACACAAGTATAAAAAATAAAAACATATACCGTACAAACATACACATATACACACAAACATTACATGGCCACTGCTCTGTATGTGTGCGTATGTAAGTACGTGTATACGCGAACACATGAAGAACTCTATCAGAGCCAACAGGAAGTGAAAGGCACTGAGGGATAAGGGAGAGCCGGGTTTTCCACTGCCCTGCCCTCAGAAGGAAGGAAGGAGATCTCCATCCCTAAAGAACACCGATGATGCCATGGACGGCGCAGGCCTGCCCTGTAGACACCGGGATGGGCGGCAGCCTCCGGGGACACCAAATGTCCGAAATGGAAAGGACCTCGGAGCCTCCCTCTGACCCACCTGACCCCCGCACAGACGCAACACACTAGACAATACGCAGAAGCCCTCCAGAGGCCGCCCCTTTCCTTCCTAGGCAGCTCTTATTCTGAGGAAGGTCTCCTGTGTTTGGTCCCATCGAGCTGGCCTGCTTCTCCGTCACGTCCACCCCGCTCCCACTTCTGCCATCTGCGGCCCAGCAGGGTATCTCCTTCCACATGGTGGCCTTCTGAAGCCCTGATGAGAACTCCGCTCCCTCTCCCCCAAATCTCCACTTTTCCAGAATGAGCATGCTAATAACCCTGCAAGACCCTCCCCATCCTGGCTTCCTTGTCTCTGCTGGAAAGCTCCACTGTGACACGTCCATCTGAAAATATCGTGTCCCTATCTCACCACTCCACTCCACACGTTCACAGATCAAGATTTATGGCTACATCAGCTTACCCAACTCCTCGTGTCACAAAAAACAAGGCAGTCCAGTGAGGACAAGGGACTGGTCCCAGGGCCCGCAGGCAGCCAGAGCCAGCACCACTATCTGCAGCCGCCTTCTCACAGTCCCCCACCACCGCCTCTGCTGGGGTCCCGGACCCTCGGCCAGTCACGGCAGCCCGGGGCGGTGTTAGCTTACAGTCTACCACATCAGAGCAGCTACATGACCCTGGAGGAATAAGTCAGGCTCCCTCACCTTCAGCGATGAAGCAGGGACAGTACCACGTGCCATACATACTCTACAAAGCTGTTAGGAAGAAAGTGGCTAACTGTGAGGCACGCCATGAATGTGAGCTGCTGCTGCTGCCCTGGGGCGGAGGGACAAGGACGGGGACAGTACCTTTAGTGATCTAGGGAACTCCCTCAAGAAATGCAGGCCAGCACCTCCTGCGAACCTTCTAGCCTCAGACAGCAGCCGAGAGCCCTGGGCGTGCAGGCGACTCGCCTGGGACCACATCGGCAGGACCCGTCCTTGGAGCCGAGAGTCTCCAAACCCACCCTGGCCTTCTGCATGGGCAGAAGGGCCCATCTCCCCAGCTCCCCGCTAGCTCACCTTCTCCTGCAGCCGGATGTTTTCCCACACCTTGTTACACACCATGCACTCGAAGGCATCAATGTAGTTGTCCTGGGTGACGTCCTGCACGCCCCACCTGCGCTCCTTCAAGGCCCTGAGCAGGTGGCCGTTGGAGATCTCGCCCCTCAGCTTCCACTCAAGGTAGGCCTCGTATTCCTTGTCATTGTCATCCAGCTGCCTGATGAAGCCTGCCAGCTCCCGCGGGTGAGAAAACCCGGCGACCAGAACGGCGCTCTTGTTGCTGGGAAGCCAGTCGCGGATGCTGGGCGAGCCGTAGTAGACAGGGACCACGCCCAGCTTCAGGGGGCGCCAGAACTTCTCGGTGATGTAGTCGTCGCAGACCGCGTTCTCAAACGCCAGGATGAACTTGTACTGCGCGAGGATGCGGTAGAAGACATCGTCGTCCATGGCGGCCGGGTTTTTCAGCTGCGGAGGGAGATCTCGGTTGCGCAGACACTCGCCGTAAGAGTCCACCTGGATGTGACTCATCAGCTCCCGCACGTAGCTGTCCCGGTCCGAGGGCGGGTCGCAGTCAGACTGCACGTACGCCAGTGGGGCCAGGCGTTGTCGCAGGCTGTTTTTGGTGTGCAGAGGAACCATGTACCTGGTCGACTTGAGGGCGTCCACGCCTTCCAGGTACTGGGTGGTTAACGGCAGGTGGGAGTGGCGGCTGAAGGTGGCCGTGTGGTTGAACAGGGTGATGACGGGCTCGTGGAAGAGCCTGTAGTTGTTCTTGGGGGACTCTTCGTGAAAGAGGGCCCAGTCGTGGTGGGCCTTCCGCGGCAGGGGCAGGCTGTCTATGCTGAAGTCAGTACCTGGAAAAGACAAGCAGCACACGATGGAACCTCAGCCGCAGAGGGATCCCAAACGACCACGCACGCTCCAACCAGGTGGAACGCGGGGGCTTTCAGCTCCTCCGTCCCAGCCACGTTTCTGTTCTTCTTTTCCAGACTATTGGAATGAGTTAAACGGGCAAAACAGCCACAAATCTTTAAGCAGAAAAAACAAAAAGTAAATTTAAAAATGTTAGCATATAAATCCCGTTCCCAGTGTGAGGAAGGCAGGATAACAGAAAATGAGATCTCAGGTAAACACATCATGGTACTGTTACAGAGCAGGGACTTAATGAATGTTCACTGATTGGCTGTTACCAACACAAACAAGACCATTCTGTAAAATGCTCCACAAACTGAATGTGCTCTTACAACGTCAGCCATCATTACCAGGAGGAAATGGCAAACCGCACCAGGACTTTTGTCAAGAAAACCCCAGATGGAGCCATGGAGAGTCAGACATGATGAAAGGACTCGACAACAAAAGTACTGTCACTTCTTTGGATTCCGCAGAGAAACACGGTGATGTTTCTGGACATGGTAACGGCTTCCTACCTGTGTGACTGGGGAAGAAGAATTCACACGCCACCACATTCCCGTGGGCACAGTGACAGTTTTACTGGAATGAAAGTGACATTTTTCTTTTTTGACCTTCAATTTCTTTGATTGACAGAATTCTGAGCTAAGAAAACTCCTTCTTCCAATGCAGATCCAAATTTAATCTTTCAAAAAACAAACAGGTCATTTTTATTACAAACACTAGAAAGCACAGGAACAAATGGACCTTTCCTTAATATGGTAAAGAGCATCTCTCTAAAACCAAGAGTCAGCATTATATGTAGTGAAGACCTCTACTATCAGGGGAAAGCAAAGATATCCATTATTACCACTACCATTTGATACAGTGCTAGAAGTAGTGGCAACAGCAGTGAGACAAGAAGGAGAAATTGAGGAAATCAGCATAGGCAGAAAGGAAATAGAAGTATCCCATTTTGCAGAAGATATAATGGTTTACTTAAAGACTGTAGAGATTCAGCTAAACTTAACAAAGAATAATTAATAACTTTGGCAAAACTGCAGGATATAATACATCCATATCAATCTATCAGCATTTTTATATATTATCAACAAAACAAAGCAGGAAGAGACAGAGCAATCCCATTCAAAGTAACTACAGAATGTATCCAACACCTGGGAGTTTACTTCTCTACTCAGGACCTAGATGAATAAAACAGAAAACATTCTGAAATACAGATCTAAATTAAAGGAACCTTAAATGCACGTGGGTAGGCTGAGCCAACATAATAAAAATGATACTACTACCTAAATTAATCGACTTACTCAGTAACATGTTACCAAAGGACTACTTTACAGATCTAGAAAGAAAAAAAGCAAACTCATCCGGAGAAACAAAAAGTTTAGCATCTCAAGGAAAATAATGAAAAAACCGGGAAGAAAGGCTACAGAGCAGTCATCATCCAAACAACTTGGTCCTGGACCAAAAACAGAGAGGCTGATCAGCGGAACCAAGGAGGCACAGACCATAGCAATGCAAACAAACCCAACAGCTCAGTGTTTGACACACCCAAAGACCCCAGCCCCTGGATGGGGTGAGGACTCGCCATCGAACAAAAGATTGCCCAGGAACTGGGAAACTGCCTGGCAGAAATGAGGTTTAGAGCAACATCTAACATCACAAACCAAAGATAAACTCCAAAAGATACACGTCTTAGGTATAAAAAGTCACATCGAGAGCAACAAAGAGTGTATCTTCGGCAGCAACAGACAAGGAAAAAATTCACAACAGATCTTAGAAAAGATCCCAGCAGACAACACAATCTTTACTACATAAATTTTTTAAAAATTTCTGAACAAACAAAACTAATTGTTGCCCGGTCATTTGTCACGTCCAACTCTTTGTGACCCCATTTGTGATTTTCTTGGCAGAGACGCTGGAGTAGTTTGCCATTTCCTTCTCCAGCTTCTTTTACAGATGAAGAAACTGAGGCAAACGTAGTTAAGTGACTTTCCCAGGGTCACAAAGCTAGTAAGTGTCTAAGGCCAGATTTGAACTCACAAAGATGAGTCTTCCTGACTCCAGGAGGACCAGCACTCTAACCACTGTGCCATTTAGCTGCCCCTATTTAATTGGGGGGGGGAATCTTCAAAACAACTTTCTCTGATGAAGGTCTGATATCCAAGATATATAAGAGACTGATTCAAATTTATAACCACAGGAGCCATTCTCCAACAAAAAAAATTAGTTGAAGGACATGAACAGGTAGTTTTCAAAGCAAGAAATCTAAGCTATCAATAATATTTTCTAAAATGCTCTAAATTACTAATAATTAGAGAAGTGTAAGTTAAAGCAATTTTTAAGTTCTACCTCACGCCTATTAAACTGACAAAGATGACAAAAGGAAACTGACAATTGTTAGGGACACTGTGGAAAAACAGGCACACTGGTGCAACGTTGGGCAAGCTGTGAATAGGTCCGGTTCTTCTGGAAAGCAACTTGGAACTACAGGCCCAAAGTCACTACACTGTGCATACCTCTGACCAAGTGACATTATTAGTAGGCCTATGCCTCAAAAAGATTAAAGAAGGAAGAAAAGGAACCATATGTTAGAAAACTATTTCTAGCAGCTCATTTTTAGCGGTGAAGAACTCTAACCTGAGGGGGCCGTCACTTGGTGAACAGCTGCACAAATGAGAGTATGCCAATAAAATGGAAATTATTTTTACCCCAAGAAAGGGCGAAAGAGCAGCTTTCAGAGAAACCCGGGAAGACCTGCACGGAGCTGTTCTTCCTCCTTTGTTTTCAAAGAGGACCAATGCCATCATGGGGGAATGTCCTGACTCACTCATCAATTGGGTGTAAGTGAGGCAGAGCTGGGCAAAGTCACCAGCGCCGCTCTCCTCCAGCGGCAGGACCAAGGTCAGGATGACTAGCGATGGCCTGGGATGCACTGAATGATGATGCTGGTGTCTTCCATGTGTGACCACGATCTAAGCTCTCCACAGCACAAATTGCTCTCATCTGCCCATTCCACTGGAGGAAGTCTTTATATGCTTAGGGTAGACACCCCCTAACTCACCAATGGGTCTGAGGCCTGTTGGTTACCCTCAACATGGTTTAGCCTGTCTGGCAGGACAGTTTTTCTGGGGTGTGGCCACTGCGCAAGCTGTAGCTTCTTGGTAAAACCAGGATAACAATTTTTATAATGACAACAACCTCATAAAGACAAACAATCAATAAACATTTATTAAGTGCCTACTATTTGCCAGGTACAGTGCTAAGCACTGGGGACAAAAAGAAGCAAGGACATTCCCTGCCCTCAAGGGAATCACAATCTAATGGAACTCTGAAAGGCTTAAGAACTCTGATGGATACAAGGAGCAAGGCCAAGTCCAGAGAGCCAATGCTGATCCGGGCTTCCCACCTTCTGAGAGAGAGGGGATGGACTCAAAATGCAGAGTAAGACACAGATTTTCAGACAGGGCAATGGTGGATTTTGTTTTGCTTTATTCTATATTTTTATTACAAGGGTTCTGTTTTGCTTTTTGGGGTTTTTCCCCCCTAATGGAGGGAAGGCGGGGAGAAGTTTAGTGATAGTGTGAGAAAAAGAAAAGAAATTAAAGAGAGCTATTGGAGCACTTTTGAAAAATGTACAGAGAGAAGAGGAAGATATACAGAAAGAATCACACTGTAGTACAGCTTTAAGAGTTATAAGCTGAATTTACTCTACCATATTTAAAAAGAAAAGCAAGATATAGATTCTAGAGATTCACAGTCTCATATACAACCTTTTTCTGTTCTACGTACTTAAAAATGCTCATTTTATTTGGTGTTTAAGTTCAGAATTTTTAAAAAAGTTTTTAATATTATCAAGGTAGCTTCTACTGTTCCGGGGCAGGGGAAAAAACCAAGAAACCAAGGCTGACGAGGTCAAGGATTTGCCCAGAGTCCAGTGAGTAGTGGAGCAAGGAAGCTGCAGCTGTTCTGATTCCTGAGCCAGGGACTTGGTGGTCACTTCACGCCCTACAGGCACCTCAGGCCCCCTCCTTAGGCCAGGGCTCTGAACCGTTTTACAGCCAGCCTCATGAAGCCTACAGACCCCTTCCCAGACATAATAATCTGAAATGTACAAAATGCATACTATTAAGGAGGAAACCAATACTACTGAAATAAAATTATTAAAATATTTTTTAAGACAAACTTCCAGATCATAGGATAACTTGCTCTGGAGGGCCCTAAGGATACCAGACTCTCAGAACATGACTTGGCCCTGATGGCCTTTCAGGAAGACAATGAATGAAAGTTATTTCAACCTTTATCTCATCATTATAGGGTCAGCATGGCATCAGAGATAGTTCTGGGCTTGGGGTCCCTGACACCCGAGTTCAAATCTAGCCTCTGATACTTATAGCCATGTGACCCTGGCAACCGACCACAGTGAGCTTATGGTAAACCTAAGCCTTAGCTCCAAAGTCATAGGTGGGTTAAGCTCAGCACTAGTGAAGAGAGTTCCCACACCTAGGAAGTCTGAGACACACCGATGATCTAAAATTTTATTTTTCTGTCTCTGACTAATTCAGCAGTCCAAGTATGTTTGGCTAATGTCTACGGCAAACGGCTACGGCTGAGACCAAAGTCTCCTGGCTCTCTCAGAGGTATCCAAACATTAAGTACCGCTATCTAAATTGACCGCACATTGCTGAAGTGCAGTCTACAGTGACTCCCTACCTCCCTGAGGTATTTAATTCACGTACATCTATGCCAAAGGGAGAGGGTAGAGGCGTTCTTGTCTCTACTCTCCATCCAGTAAGTGGACAAGGGTTCAGCCAACATGAGGCAGACCCGAGTGCCTTGACTTTCAGCACCTGAGGGCCTACAGATCAGCCACAACTCAGGCTAAGGTAGTTCTAGAAACTCCTCTGGAGAAGTAGGGGTTGGCATGTAGCTGATCCCTGAAAAACGAGTCATAAAGAAGCAAAAAAGAGGCAAACCCAATACTCACCATAGAAGAGGAACGCTTTGGTCAGATGGTGGTGCTGGTAGCTCCGGTTGATGGTAAAAAAGCAAGTGTCCGCTCCGCAGTGACCTAACCTTCCCGTTTCCCCGGTCAGTGGGGACCACCAGAGCATGATGGGATAGCTGTCTGCCTTGGCTACCTTCTTCTTGCTTTGGTACAGTCCTTTCTTAAGAAATGGATGGAGATGTTTGGTGGCTTCTTCAGGCTTCTGCTGCCCGTCTTTCAGATTGGAGTTTTCTATCTTCAGCCTTTCAAATTTGCCAAGCTCGCTGACCACCTGGGAAAGAATAACAGCAGCCTGAGTTTGTGTGACAATCCAAGGTCCGCCAAGTACTCGGAATACGTTAACTCATTAGGGTTTTGACAACAATCCTGCGAGCCAGGCACTACAAAAAGCACCATCCCCTCAGAATGAGAAACAGTCTCCCAGAGAGTAAGCAATCTGTCCAGAGTCACTCAGCAGCGAGTGTGAGGGGCGAGGGGTGGGCCGGGCTCTTCCGGCCTCCATGTCTAGCCCTCTTCCCCCTACGCTAAGCTGGCTCCCAAAGACTAAGCACATTGTCGTCTGTCAGATCACTGGGCTACCACGTGCCAATTGCCCACCTGTCTTAGTGACCTTCCCCCTGGGTGACCCGTCAGAAAGAATGCAGGGCCATCTCCTTCGTGTCTTCATTGGTGCTAACAGCACATGCCTTCTCCCTTTTTCTCCATCGTGGGGGATTGTAGAGAATCACGAAATCCACCTTGGAAATGGTCTTTCTTGAGTCCAAGCCACAGGTACACAAGCATGCCCTCTCCAACAACCCTGAGCATCACATTCTAGGCTGTTTCCATTCAGGATGAGGGATTCTGGACAGAGAAGAGACCATCTCTCTATTTTCCACCCCTGCTCTCCTCGGCTTAAACCCTGGGATGCCCCTGCACTGGGTACCCCTCACTCTGCAGCTTCTTTGGTGGGTTATCTCATCTGCCCCCACTGGGGGGTAGGCTCCTCAAGGGCAAGGACCATCTTTTTCTTCTCTGTATCCCCAGCACTAAGAACACAGCAGGCGCTTAATAAATGTGTATTAAACTGAACAGAACTTTAAAGGTCATCTTCAAGTCCAGCCCTCTCATAGAAGATCTAGGGAAGTTCTGTGACTTGCCCAAGGTCACTCAGTTTGTCTTTGTAACCCAGTGCCTGGTCCACAGAGAGCACTTACCAAATGCATGATGATGCGCTCAGATTCAAGCCACGCATCTTTTCCTGGGGAGAGAAGGGAAACCATGCACGCGCATGTCCTGCTCCTCTCAGATCTGCCGCCTGGCAGCCTGGGAATCTGGGGAGCCGCAAAGGGGCTCGGCCCTCCCCTGAGCTCAAGCTGCCCCGCGCCACGCTCTCTCTCTGGGTCGGACTCACAGACGCTCAAAGGCTGTCTGCTCCCTCTGTTCCTTTCTCACCAGGCATCACACTGCTGGTCCTGCTCTGACCGTGAATGAGGGAGGTGAACACAATAACATCACTAACGATGACTATTACAGTCCTTCTGCCAGAGGGAGACACTGCCGGGCTTGGAGTCTGAGGGCCTGAGTTCAGGTGGCACCCCCTCTCTGGACCTCGGTTTCCTCATCTGTAAAATGAAGGGACTGGACAGAAGACCTCAACGGTCTCTTCCAGATCTGAGCTTCCTCCCAACCTTCTAAAGCACTCGCAGTCACAGTGAGGAACAGGATCTGGGGTGTTTATAAAAAAGAAAACAAAGAACAGAGAAACCGAGGACTTACCCAAGACCACAGACACAATGCAGCAGAGCCTGCTAGGCGGCTTGCTGGCCTGGAGTCAGAAGGACCCCAGTTCAAATTCAGCTGTGTGATCCTGGGTAAGTCATTTCACCTCCAGTTTCCTCATGTATAAAATAGGAATAACAACATCACTCGCTTTCCAGTGTTGTTGTAAGGATCAAAACTTGTAAGCACACATAGGAAGCGCTTAAGAAGTCCATCCAGCCATCTATATCAGAATTTCCCCAACTGCATTCTTCACAGCCTGGTTCTGTGTTATGTGAAGATTGGCTCTGGGAGGAAGAATGAAGCTCGCCATTTTTTCTTCCGTAGTAACTACAAAGTGACAAGTTTTGAACACAGCGATGACGCTCGGCCAGTGAGAAGCCTAAAACTCCTCTGACCCTGCCCTGCACGCTCCTGCTCCATCTCCTGCCTGGCCTGGGCGCTGGTGGAATCCCGCACCTGGGGCGCATCCTCTGCTCAGCTCTGCCTCCTGGAACCCCTGGCTCGACACTAACCCTTTACCAACACTTCCACCGCTGGGCCCAGCGTTCACCCTCCCAAGCCTACATTGTACTCACGCTGTCTCTGCTCACCTAAGCATATTCTATCGCCTTTTTACGTGACCAGGAGCATTCATCATGGCCTTACTATGTGCGAAGCTCTGGCGATACAAAGAAAAGGGAATCAGGCAGCTCCATCAGAATGCAGTCTCCTTGCAGGCAGGGACAGCACACTTTTTTCTTTTGTATCTCCAGTACTCAGCCCATAGTAAGTCAGTCCACTGGCATTCACTAAGTTCTCAACATGTGCCAGACATTGTGCTAAGTGCTTAATACATGCTAAATCATCTAAAAAAATTGGTGCCCCCAAGTTTCATGAGTGTCCCTTTGTCAAAGAGGTGGTTCGTGTTCCAGGATTCTTACATTAGCATTTAGAGAGTCTTTCAATATATTTCAAACCCAAGGGAATTCCTGAGACAAGCAAGCTTTGGAAATGCCGAGCTACAACACGCTGCCCCGACAGATCCGGACAGACAGAACATTTTACTGGGCTTTCTCCAAACTGAGGAGGCTGGCTGGACTTTGGGGCCAATGCCCCTCTCCCTTCATCGCAAGATCAGAAAATTGGAAAGCTCTTGGAGAGCACATAGTGGGACCTCTTCATCTTGTAGCTCGAGACCCGGAGGCCAAGAAAAGGCAAGGAGGCAGGCTCACCAGCCGCAGAGTTACGTCCATCATGCTCACGGCGTAAAAAATGCAGTAGGCATCTGTGAGCCGTGAAATCAGATTTAAAATCTAATCAAGACTGCTTTAATCACTGAGGCTGAAAGACACAGTACAGGAATGAAAAGGAGATAAAACGCAACCCCCGGGCTCGTCTTCAAGCCACGAGGTGTGCCAAGCCTCAGGAGGGGCCACGGCCGCAGCAGAGGAGCCTGGCCAAGCTCCCACTGCAGCTGGGGAGTCTGGTGGGCGCACCCAGGTGGCTGCGGTCTGCTTTATACTCTGAAAACCAGCAAGTGGCCTCCAATCCCCAAAGAAAGTACGTCTCCAGGATGGTTTCAATACTTTTTAAGGAGAACTAGCTGGACTTGGATGGGGGCCTGGGGTCAGGACATCGCTCCCTGGGGCCAGGACATCTGTTCTACACGGCATAGACATTAGGAGTTAAATAACAACATGACGGCAATAGCACACCTTTTCCGATGCATTCTACCCACGCAGACTGGAAGACAGAGAAGGAGAGATCTTGAAGTCATGCAGCGAATTGTACCGCATGTGTGCGTCGTGTTACAGTTATTTGCACATACACTATCTCCACTGTACAACTGTAAACTACTTGAGGACCAAATCTGGTGCCCTACTCATCTTTCTTTCCTTCCCTCAGCATCTAAAAGCAGGGCTCAGCCAGGTTGGGGAGCCTGAGGCCCCTCTAGGTGCTCGACTGACTGAATCCAGACTTCACAGAACAAACCCCTGTAATAAAATAACCCTAAATGCGTGGCCTCGAGGCTGCAGGTTCCCCATCCCTGGCACGTACTAAGGGGGAGGGAGGGCAGTGGTATGGGTCAGGCTGGAATGTTGCTGAATTACAGGGAGCCGTACGGGCCAAGGAGCTGACTCAGCCGGCAGCGAGGGCTTCTGAGGACTCAACAGCAAGAGAGGATTCTGAACGCAGGATGAAGACGAAGAGGAGGGCGGACGGGGCTGCTTCTCCATCGCTTGTTCAGTGGTCACCAAGAGAAGCCTGGAGTACTTAGCTGGGGGTGGGAACTGGGGAAGGAGGACCACCACCAGATGAGGGGGTCACAGATGGAGGGTCACCGAGGCCCGGAAAGGGGACATGTCCCATCCACGGTCTCGCCAACAGCAAGTGAGACCCGAGACGGAGTTCTCTGGCTCCAAATGCAGCGCCTCTCCCGGCGTGACACACGCAGCTCGTCCATTCTGGCAACGTCTTTGGCTCCACGGCTAAGTTCTGACAGTTTATATTAAATAATTCTACACAGTTTGTGCGGCCGTATTGCCTGTGCATCTAGGAGCCCCAGAGTCCTATGACATCACTATTCCCCCGAGGATCTGCTCTTAACCAGGCATACAATTAACACTACTTTTACTGCTTTTCCAGATACCACGCTTGGCCCTGGCAAGCCCATTCCTGGCATCTTGCCATCTTCCAGAGCAGAAGCCAGGGCTGCAGGCAGGCAGGACTCCAATGGGAAAGGGAGGTGGGCTTCTGCGGCTGTCGGCCTCCAGCCCAGTCCTGAACTCGGGATCTCAGTCTGATCGGCTTCATTTTCTAGCAGATGTGCCCAAAGAGCCAGGATTTCCTCACTCTCAAGTGAAGATGACAAGATTCATCCTCTCTCCTTTCCCTGCATCAGATTCCTGAAGCATAACATTACGTTCATTAAGTACCTACTGTGTGCTCCAGAGGCTGAGATAAGACCCAGGACCTCGTCCCCCCACGTCCATCTAACAGGAGGACACACACACACACACACACACACACACACACACACACACACACACACACACATTATTCTAACATACAATGACACAAGGGGGAGGACACAATGCATAAGAGCTGGCATCAGGGCAGAGAAGAGCAGGGCTAAAGTTCCATCTGTACCACTGACTATCTGTTATGACCCTGGGCAAACCCACTTGCTGCCCCAGGCCACCGGAGAAGATGCCCCCTGCCTTGGGAGAGGAGCTCCCTACACTGACACAATGACATCTCTGAGTAAAAAACCAACCCAACAACACATAAACATGAGAAATATAAAGACGAGGGAAGGAAGAGGTGCCAGGGGCTCATCTGAAGACTTAGGTAAAGCATTCAGAGATCAAAGACCCCAGAATCCACCCCATCTGCGGTACCTGGAATGAAATGAGGAGGAAGGAGGCCACCGTGACGCACAGGCAGGATGCCCAGAGCTTCTTCCTCCACACTCTCGCCATGCTGCCCTGCCCAGGAGGAGAGATAGACGCCGAGACTTCCTACCAGCTGTTCTCTCTGCAGTTCACGTCCTGCCGCAGCCTCCTGCCAGGCGCCCGTTGGGAAGCCGATCTCCTCCACTGCCATTCTGGCTGGGAGCTGGTCTCCATGAAGGACTAAGGTTTGGTGTGCCGAGTGGGGCTGACTCCACATCTAGGGGGCCCTGGGTGGTCTTTTCTCTGGCTCTCCCCCAGCAGCACGCACCAGGTAATCCTGGAAAAAAAAGGGGCCAGGAGCAGACGATTAACAGGCAGTGGAGGACACTTGGCAAGAGAAGTCCTATGGGGCTCACCAGGAAGGGACAAAGGCTCACGGTCCCCTCCCTCCTCCAGGAAGATGAGCCTAGGCAGAAGAGCTCCCCAAGATTTGGACGGGTCAAACAGACTGCCCACACAGCTGGTCAAGAATCCAGGCTGGATTCAAGAAAAATGTCTTTGTATGAGTGCTGTTCAACAGCGGACTGGTCTGCAGCCTCTCTCATCTGCTCGAGGTGACATGAGTGCCAACAGGCCTAAATGAGTCAGGGTGACCTGGAAGCTCCCTGGCGGGCCCAACGCTGTCCCAGGTGAATGTCTGGCCCCACTGCTGCCCCAGGCCACCAGGGCTGAACACACTTCAAAGTCCTTCAATTATGCATGTAAAACGAATAGAAAGTCCCCGGGCCCCTCTCTGGGAACACATATACAGAGTGCTGTTTTGGGTTTGTCCCCCATCCCCAGTCTCAGGTCCTTACTTTCTCCATCCCAAGTGTCTCACTCACTAGGACAGGTTACAATCCTCTCTTCCAATCAAAATCCAAACTCCACTATGGCTTAGTAAGCAGCCTTTGGATGTTACTGTGGCCAACCTTCCGATCAGGAAAATTTCTAAAAAATCAAGGGCAGTGTGGCAACATAGGAACCCGAGTCAGGTAGCCACTGATCTACAATTTAGTCTAAGAAAGTAGCCCAGGCTTAGAGAGGAAATACATACAAATAACGGTAACACAATGCACATGTATGGATAGTATAATTACTTGTAAATGACTTGCCCATGGGCACATAGCTAATATGAGTCAAAAGGTAAGATCTGCATCCTGAACTTCCAGCATCCATGGCCAGTGAACCTAGGTCTTCCTGACTCCAGGGCACCGTGACGTTTTCCTTCCAAAATAATAACATTAAATGTTATTACTACTGCTCTTCTAAGAAAAGGGGATGGGATAACAAAGGAGGAAAGGACTGCTGGGCAACGATGAAACTGAATCAGACAGCAAAAACTGTCTAAACACCCAAGCTTCACAAACATAAAATGGCCAGAGAAGTTCAATCTATAGCTCAGACTGATGGAACCAAAAGTAGAACATAAGGTCCTCCGACACAATGTTCTTGAAGGCAGGAACTGCTTCATTTGTCTTTCTGTCCAGTGTTAGGAACAGCACTGAGGAATCTCAGCAGTAAGACTGAAAGGTCCCGCCCCCTTACGCTATCTTTCCCCTAAAAAAGGCAGACAATCAGCAAAGATCAAAGAATAAGAACAGCCAGTTTTCAAAGGAAGACGTCCACGCTATCAATCGTGAGATGAAAAAATGCTCCAAATTACTGCTAACGATTAGAGAAATGAAAATTAAAACAATAATCGGAGCGGCAAAGATTTTTAAAAAGGAAAGTGAGAATTGTTGGTGGGGCTGTGGGAACCCAGGTATGTTATTGTACTGTTTGGGGAGCTATGAACTGGTTCAGTTATTTTGGAAAATAACTGTGGAACCAAGCCACACCAAGTCATACTACTGTGCACACCCTCTGACCCAGTGATATCGTTGACAGAACTATACCCGAAAGAGATTAAAAAAAAAAAACCCACATGCACAAAAATATTTGTAGCAGCTCTTTCTGTAACGTCCAAGAACTGGAAACAAACCTGAGCAACCCTGACTCACTTGGGGGGCACTAAAATAGCAAATTTGAAACCCCATCCTCTGACCCCAGAACCAGTACCCTTTCCAATCTACCTTGTATAGAAAATAGCCTGAAATCTAGGGGCACCTCACAATCAGTGGCCAGTGGAGGGCAAACAGCAGGAGTCCTGGTTACCACAAAACAAATACTGCCAACTTTCTAGTCTGCCCTAAGGCTGGCCTCGTGGCAAGTTCCAAGATAACGTGAGTTGAGGCCACTCAAGGTGATGGTTTGTTATAGATTCTATGATACACAAAGCCTGCCTACAGAGGCAGGTACTTCCCAAGATGGACACTGTACAAGATAGCAAACAAGTGACCTCCATCAATACCAGACAGGCGCTTCATACTGAGTCTATGATTAAACGGATTTCAGCTGAGCAGTTGCAATGCCTTGTAAATACAGAGGGCGGGCAGCTCTGAAGCAGCTAATCTGGATTCAAGTAGCCTGATGAACAGGACAGCTAGGTGGCAAAGGAGATAGAAGGCAGGCCTGGGGTCAGGAAGACTCCTCTTCATGAGTTTAAATCTGACCTCACACACTTACTAGCTGTTTGCCCTGGTTTCTTCATCTGTAAAATGAGCTGGAGAAGAAAACGGCAAACCACTCAGTCCTTCCCCTCTCTGGATCCCAAGTTTCCGAGTAGAAAAGATGCCCTTAAAGGTGCCTTCCAGCTCTAAATCCTACGATCCCATGAGAAATAAGATGCTTCCATAGAAGGGATGGGAGGAGGCGCATCATTGCTTATGGAATGTCGAACTGACCTCAGTCAGCGTCTGGCACTATTTTCTTTAATGTAGTCGTCTAAGACAAGTAAATTCTGGGGAGACAGGACACAACTGAGTCAGCCACAACAGCCAGGAGCAGCGAGTGGCCTTCAGGTGGCTGGACTCCCTCCACCGCGCCAGCCAGCCCCCCATGCTGGCTCCCCTCTGCCCCTTGCCGTTCAGGAGAACGGGATCACCCCTTCCTCCCCCTCCCCAAATCTCACTCGCTAGTTTTAGAAAATGCTTCGCGATGCTCTCTAAGGGGGTCTAGAGACCACCCAGTGCCAGTATGATCCTTTTACAGATGGAAACTAAAGTCCGGCCAGGTAAAGGGATTCCTTTCTGCAGCCCTCAAACAGAGTGATGTTTTCTCAGTCCATAACCATCAACTTCTATCTAGAGACTCCTTGGGCAAGTAAAAGGGGAAAAGGTTCTGGGCAAGCTAGAAGTTGCTAAATACTGCTGGGCTCCTGCATGCCCTCTCACCCTCTGCTAGTGAAGCTTGCCTGGAAAAAGTCCCTATCAGGACTGTCTTGCCTTCCACCTCCCACCCGTTACTGCCATTATAAAGGACGCTTTCTAAGGTGGCTGACTTCCCAGCTGATGCTGATGCTGCCCTGAGCTCTGAGTTTACAAATTCCACCTCACGACCCTTGGAATAGAACTGGAGATGGTGGACAAGTCTTCCCCAGCCAGCTGAACTGCCCTTCTGCAAAGTTCTGCTCCCCCATCTCTGAGGTTCCCACTGTGAATGTTTCCTTAACTTAAAAGGCAGCAGCTAAAACGAATTCCAAAGGCAGGAAGGCATGCTTCCCAGCTGCATCTTCCAACACGCCAGGAGGACTCTGGGAGCTCAAAGTCAAATGGTGCCAGAAGCAACTTTAATCCAGCATCAGGCCAAAGTGTGCCAGGACTGCCGTGCACCCCTGACTTTCCCAGGACTTACAGAGTAAATTAACTTCAAGAATGTCAGGCTAATGACTGGCCTCAGATATCATTAATATTGGTAACTCCAGAGGAAGACGCTCTCTCTACTGGTTCGGGTCAACATCTCTGCAGCAGACATCCAGCCAGTACGTGTTGGAGGCAGGCTTGAAGGCAGCTCTTCCTGGCTCCAGGAAGGGAGGGTGTGGTGCACACACATGTTAAGCACTTCCTAAATGAATGCAGACTTCACGGCAAGGCCAGTTTTCTTTATGTTGGAATGAGGCCCAGGGGCCTTCTGGTCCCAAACCACAGAAACTCAAATACAGCTGAAGGAGACCTCAGAGGCATCTAATCTGCTATTTTTATAAACAAAAAAACTAGGGCCCAGGGAGGGTCAGTGTCCTACTGGTAATAACCATTACAGTCAGAATTTGAACTCAGGTCCTGTGACTTCAGTGTAACCTGCTGATTCTCCAAATTATGACCAAGTGCTTACTACAGAGGGGATACAAAAATGAAGCCTCCTTGTCCCTCAGGGAGGGCCCAAGTACAAAAACAAGAGGCTGGATCTCCCAACAAGTGGTCCTCTCTAGTCTCTTCTGAAGACCTCCAGGAATGGGACCTCACTCCCTCAGAGCCACCATTTTAGACAGTTTTCATATTTCCGCAGGCTCGGCTAAAATCTGTCTCCTTGTAACATCCCTCCACTGGTATTTGTTCTGCCCTCCCAGGGAGGGTGGCTCAAACCTAATCCTTTTTCCATGGGACATCTCTTCAAAAATCCCTCAGAATCTCCTCTTTTCAAGGCTAAACTCCCACAGTTCCCTGAACCAATGTTTGTATGGCATGGTTTCGAGTCTTCTTGTCCTGATGTGCAGTTCAGGACATCAATGTGGGCCCCAGGACTAGAGGCCACATCACTCTCATTGTTTATTACAGGCTTATTGTGTGCTGGGCACCAGGGACATAATCATGAACAAAATGGCAAATAGTCTCTGCCCTGAAGGACCTTGTACTTTGCAGAGGCACAAAACAATTTCAAAGATAAGTTAACAGGACACAATTTGAGGCAGAGAACATGGATAGCTAGGAAAGTCGTCCTCATCTCCCCTAAGAAGGTGACCCTGAGCTCTGAAGGTAGCTGGGGATTTGAAGAGGAGGAGGTAAGGAAGGAAGGCATTCCAAGAATGGGGGGGAGAGAGGGAATGATGTAGGGCTTTTTTTTCCTTTTAAAATGTCTTATTGGTAATCTACTCAAGCAGAATAAATACCATATTAGCAGTTTCCAAAACATGCTTTATTCAGCAGCTACTGTCCTCTACCCCTCAACTGAGAGGCACTGGGGCATCAATCTTCTGAAGTCATAATTGACTCCACCCTCTGGAATGGGAACGCAGGGAAAAGGTCAATGAGGCTGGAGTGTAAGTCTATTAGGGGAAGAAATATGAAATTAATCTGGAAGGACTTTAAATGCCCAAGTGAGAAGCATGTACCTAATCCTAGAGACAATACTGGTAGCCAATGGAGAATCTTGGGCAGGAAACTGAAATGGTCAGAGCCGTGCTTTAGAAGATTATCTTGGCAGTGGTGTGCCATGGATTGGGGACAGGAAGCAGGGAAACCAATTCAGAAGCTTCTGCTGGTAACAGGTGAGCTCTGACGCCCAGACAGATTTGGTGGTTGGGAGAGCAGGAGGATAGGAAAGATACTGCAGGGGTAGAATCAACAAGACTCAGTCACTGATTGGGCACGAGGAGGGCGAAAGGAGAGAAGAGTCCATGACAAGCCCAATGTTAAAAACTGTTACGACTAGTGGGATGGTAGTACCTTCCCAGAAAGAGAAGTCTGGAAGATGAGAAAGTTAGGGAAGATAGAGAGGGATGTCCATGAGGCAGTTGGTAAGGCAGCATTGGTACATGTGGGACTACCACCCCCCTTGACTGAGATTCAGTATTGCTAATCACATTATATTTTTTGGCAGGTAATTTGTACTGAGCTTGCAGTCTTTTTCAATGACATGTCCTCTCATCTTGGTCTTGTGCCATTAATTACAAAAAAAGGAATCCTAACTACAGGATTTTACATTAATCCCTATTAAATTCTGAGGTTTTGTTTGTTTGATTTTTAATGTGTGCTGAGTTAGGCCCAGAAATGAACCAAGAGAAAGAGACTGGGCTAGGTCACATGGGGAAACTGTATGGTGCTTCTGAGAGGTCTAAACCTGCTCCCTAATGCCTCAGACCCTCTTTAGATCTTAACATTCTCCCAGTGATGCTTCAGGGCTGTGAATCACAAACAAATCTCATTCTCTTAGAAGAATCCAAACTGCAAAAAACCCAAAAGGCAGTGGAAAGAGATGTGCTCAGTGTAGGGAGGCTATGAGACATCTCCACTGGTGACCGACTACAAGAAACGGCAAAAAAAAAAAGACTTAGTAAAGGCCACATGTGATCAAAAAGGGAAGCAGCAGCCAGTCACCTAGCAAGGGGTCAGTCAGGGATCGAGGTTCATGGATAAGAGGCAATAGCTTAGCTATGCAACCAGTCCTCAGTTGTGCTCTGAAGATACCCTGGGAAATTCACAGAAAGAGAGAATCATACAAGATGAGACTCTTTGGATCTGCCCTTTTCAAATCAAATCAATAAAACTCAGAATTATGTATATATGGTAGCATAGGAGTTAACACCCACTATAAATGTGTATACTCAAGCAAAACAAATTCCCACACTGGCCGCGACTAGATAAATACCTACATATTTATGTACCTATTTACCTATGGGTAAACAGAGAGACAGAGAGATAAACCCATATTTTCATACAGGTATATGATTCAATCTTTGTTCTGAATTACAGAAGTTAATCTTAATAGCATCATTCATAGGATCACTTACCTAGGAGTTGGAAGGAACCTCACAGGCCATAATAGGATCAAAGTCTACCATGATTTCCTCCCATCACAAGTTAGGACAGTTTTTCCCTGGTCCAGGGAGTGAAGGTTTAAGCTGTGCCTAGTGCCCTCTGACCACACTAACATGGCTTCCTGGTCCCCTAAGGGCATAAAAGGGTTACCCTGAAGCCAAAGCCCCTCACCCGTGGCAGCCCAGCAGAGGTGGATGTCCCAAGGTCAGGTGAGTGACCACACCTGGCCACGCTAACTAGCCAGGATTCCACATGAAGGACGATGCTGGTCTGCCCAGGTTAAGCAGGGCATCATTCTATGACAAAGTAAACCCCACTTTGTTAACTGGTAAACGTGTCTCATGTCGTTTCAATGCCAAACTTTGTTGTCGTTCCCTCTTCATCCTCCAAGAAGACCAATGACATCCTGAGGGTGATGTCCTGACTAAACAGGATGCCAGCCAGAGCCGGGCCCACCCAGTGCAGAAGCCACCTGTTGAACCAAGTGGCTACCCTCAAGCCCACAGTTTGAGGATGTCAGCGGTCAATAAGCATTTATCAGCTACGTGAGGGTGTTCTGAGAAACTGAAGAACAGATGAGGGACATAAGATTCAGGTCCAAGCTCTGGACCTAAAGGCTTCTGATTCTAAATCAGGGTGACTGTGCTCCCTCGTCTCACACTGGTGCTTGACAGGCACAAATAACAAAACACAGCTTAAATGCTTTGCAAACTTCAGTGAGTTATGTAAGTTATTATCTCCCATGCAACAGGTTCCAAGGAGAATTTCTCATCTTTCCCCTTAAACCTCACCTTCCTTTTTGTCTGGACCTGGTCCTTCTCTATTTCACAGGCTCCTCTTCTGGAACCTTCTCACATTTGCCCTTCCTGTGGCTCTGACTACATCCAGCTCCCCAAATGACTGTGTGTCCCCACCTGTGACCTGCCAGGCAAGAAGCTAATCAGACCCACCTGAGCAGGACTGCATCCTTCCTATGCTACAAACCAGACCTGAGCTTGCCTGCTTCTGGAATGGTCATGACTCTGAAGCAGAGAAAAGGAGCACAATCCCACACCAAGTCCTGGGAGCAGACACTTGCTGGGCCACCCTGGACATCGTCTTCCTGACAAAGCCTGAAGCCCACTGTGCCCAAGACTCCCCTGACAACTTCTCTGCTTCTTCCCTGGCTCACACTGGCAGGTATCAGTCCCAGCCATGCCATGATTTTGATGTGCTGGTCCAGTGTGGTGTCAATTCTAGTCCCAAGATGAGGGGACCGCTGGGCTGCCCCAGCCTGGAGATATCAGTCTTGGCTTCAGTGTACAGGGCAGGGCAGGAGGCTGCCCTGCTGTCCTTCCCTTGCTTGTCCTGCCTACGACCTCCTCGGAAGTCTTCACAAATGGCCTTTTCTCTGGGGGTTTCCTTTAAACAGGCCAAATCAAAAGGTCAGACTACCAAGCTCTCTTAGTTTCAGACTCTGACATGCCTTCGTTTTCTGTATTTCAGCTCAGTCACCATCATCCTCCCAGTCACCAACTCTATATGCTTGGGTTCAGTGAATGAGATGTTAGATCACGGTTACACGGGAATGTCCAGCAAACCGTTAAATCTTAGAAGGCTCCTAGGGATCTTACAGCTGCTCAGTCCAGGCTTCTCCCGAACCTTTGCATGGGGTGTGCCTCATGCCTAGAAGGCTCACGCTCCCCTCGACTAAGGAGCCCTTTCTTACCTCCTGAAGCCCCAGCGGTCAGTGCGGCCCCGGGAGCTCCTCTTTTCCTTACTTTCTTATTGGGGTGCGTATTTCTTCCTTGGGGAAGGCAGCAGGCTGCTGGAGGGAGGGTCAGTCTTGTTTTTGTCTCTGCGTTCTTATGCAAAGGTCTTTGAAGGTCTGCCGGCTTGCCCGGCTTTGCCGGCTCTTCCCATCCCCGTCTCCAGCCTTGGGACCAGGCAGCCTGGCCTGACGGCGGGCCTGACTTCGGGAAGCATCCCCTGTCCTCCCAGAGCCCCGGGGCTTGCCTCTCGGGCGGGCTTCCTCCCTTGGGGAAGGAGGAACCAACGATCCCGCCACTACTTACGCTGGGGCTCCTCCACCACCGGCCGGCCCCGAACCCCTTTCCAGCCCTGGACGCCCTACAATGGTTCCATCAGAAGGTAAGCAAGCCCCTTTGCAGATGGGGTTTAACGGTCTGGCCGGCTAGCATCAGCATCGCGGACGCACACAGGTGGCGCTTAATAAGTGCACCTTCCTTCAGCCCGCGGACGCTCGGACAGCTGCCCCTCCCCCGCCCCTCTCACTCCCGGGACACGCCGGCAGGACGTCCCGCAGCTCCCGGCGGAGCAAGGGCTGCGCCCTGGCCCCAGTAAAAGAGAGTAATTAACAACGTCCGCGTTACCCACCTCGGGGCTCAGGGAGACGTCAGCGGGGCTCCCCACCCCCGGCCCCGACGCTCACTCGCGGGGAGCCGCCTCTGGGCTCTTCCAACCCCGAGCACGCCGCGAGCCCCAATCTGCGGAGCGCTGGGCGAGGACCACGCAGCAGACCGCTGCCGCGAGCTGCGGAGCGCACTCCAGTGGCCAGCCCTGCGCAGCCGCAGAGACGCCCCTCCCCGAGCCACGCCCCCCGCGGGCACGGAGAAGCTACCCCGCCCCCTGCGCAGCCGCAGAGACACCGCCCAAACCACGCCCTCCGCGCAGCCACAGAGGCGGACCCCCTAAGCTACGCCCCGCCTCCTCTCGTCGCTTCCACGCAGTCACAGAAAAGCCAACGCAGAGAATGGCTTCTTCAAGCCACGTCCCTCCCCCTCACTGCGCAGCCACTGAAGGAGAGCACCGATTCGTATCCCCACCCAGGCTTGCCCCGCCCCCCCAAGAACTCGCGGCCAAAGCTCACCCAACCAAGCCCCGCCCCGCCGCTTCAAGCCACGCCCGTCTACAGATTCCGCTTCCTGAATCACGCCTCCTGGTCCCCCTCCCCACGTGATAGACCTCCAAACCACGCCCACGTCCCTTTCCCGCGCAGCCGCAGCGACGCCGCTCCGTAAGCCCCCACCAACGCCTAGGCCCCGCCCCGCCCGCGCAGGACTCAATTTCCGCCCCTACACCCCCCCACACACAGCGACCTTCGCCCCCCCAAGCTCCGCCCACCAAGGCGTGACCTTAAGCGTCCCTAGCCAGATAAGTGGCTGGAGGTGGGCGCGGCACGGGCCCCGCCCTCCTCGGGCCGGAAGGACGTCACCGACGCTATAAAACCGTACGCGGAGGCGTGTTCGGCCTTTCTATGGCGGGAGCAGCTGGCGGCTCTTTTACGGCCGTGTAGGCTGCGGCACTGGCCGTGTCCGGCCGACCTGGGTGAGGGAGCGCCGGGTGTGGGCTCCGTCGGGGGCGTGTGGGTGATCCGCTAGCGCGCCAGAAGGCGGGGAGGCCGCGCACCCCATCTACGCGCGCGTGGGGTGGGCGGGCAGGGGCGCATGCGCCGCGAGGTGGTCCGGGTCAGTAGCCTCACGTGGCGGTGCTGGGCGACTCCGGAGCCTGCCGAAGGGGAAACTGAGTCTGGCGTGGCCGGGGGACAGGCGGGGAGCCCCCTGTGTTTGCGGGGTGCGGGAGGCGGTGACGGCGTCCCGAGTGGGGCGGCCCTGCATTAGGGGGAGGCCTGTCCGTGGCCCCCCACCGGGGGGGGGACCCCACGAGGAGGAGGCGGCGGAGGCCTCCCGGGACCGCGAATCTCCATGAATCCTTGGGCCCTGCCGGCTGTGGCAGTCTCCCTTCCTAGCCATGGAAGAGCATGATCTTGCTTATTGGCAAAGCTGTCACCATCTAATTGGTATCAGATTCTGACTTGTGCAAGTAACACGCGTGTCGCGTGAGTGAGTGCGAGTGTGCTGCCACTCGGGGCTCGGGGCGCGCGGACTAACGCTGTGCTGCCCTTCCAGGTGCCCGGACCCAAGGGGAGATGGAAGTGAAGAGCCAAAGTAAGTATGCCTTCCTGGTTCTTGCTGTCGGGTTAGTGAGAAAGAGCACGCAAGGCTCGCTCACTAATAAAGTTCTGTGAAGCTTCGGCTGGCCGGTCCGTGAGTTCATTCACGCTAAGTTTCGTGTCCGTCTTTTCCTGCAGGCTCGCGGTATTGGAGGTGGTAAGAGTGAAGGGTCCTGGCTTTGATTACTGTGGCCGCGCTGGCTAGAAGACCTTGTCTTTGTGTTGATCCAGAACGTTTAAATGACGTTGTGCTCGTAGCTGGCTTACGTGAGAGCGAGGTGCCCTAGACCTGCACGTAGGCGGCCCTCGGTGCGTATGTCTGTGCCCCGATGGTCTCTTTCTCTCTCCCTGCCGCGCTGCGCTGCTCCTTGGCTGAATCGGTTTTTAGGAGGGGCTCTTAGCAGCCCGCTGTCTTCCGAAAGCTGAATAAACTTTGCAGCCGCTTTGAAGGACTGTAACCTCCCGTTTTTTCAGCTGGTCTCTGGAGTGACAGGCCTTCAGTCTCTGCACTCAGCTGTGACTGTGTGCTGTTGTCTCCGGATCCCAGGCTGAGAAATGCCCAGCAATTCGGTGTCAGAATTGGAATGACTGTAACTCCTCCGAAGCCATGGAGGATAAGAGAAGCAGGGATCTCTGAGGTCTACTGCTGAGCAAAAATTTCTGACCCCTTCCAGACTTCCCCTGTCAGCCCCTCTTGACTTCTGAAGGAGGCTCCACATCCCCGTAAATCATTCTGAAAACGGCGTAGACGAAATCCTCCTTTCATTTGCCGAGTTAATTGAGAGCTGTCTGCAGCCATCCGCACTTGTAAGGTACCTCTTCTTCTCGCTTGGCTCTCAGTCCCTTCCAGACCCTTTGCATTTCTGCAGCCTGGCTCTGGTCTCCTCTAAATAAACTGCTCTCTAAAGTGACAGTCATCTCGATAGCCGGATCTAACGTTTTCTCGATCATCCTGCGCCTTGCTCTGCGGAATCTGACCCTGTCAGTCTTTTTGAACGCTCTCTGCGGTTTTATGGCTGCTCTTGGTTCTTTCCTCAGGTCTCTTTGGGGCTTTCATACTGGCACATCACCCAAGACTGACTATCCTTGACCATCCTCCCTTATCTTCCCCTGCTACTTAATAACTTTTGGCTTTTTTTTATAATTTTGAAACCGAAGACGAGCATTTCAGTGTACACAGCACAGCATAAAAAGATTCATTTTAAAATTGTGAAGTTCTATTTGGGAAACAATGTGAAAAGAACTACACATAGCTTTGAAAACTTTGCTTTTCTTTGCTTCCTTCTAAGCTTTCTTTTGTTCTCTGCTGTGTGCTTTTTATTTTTCCCTCTGCACCCCACTCTAGAGAAGTCTACCATTAGACACAACTATGTGTGTGTGTGTGTGTATATATATATATGTGTGTGTGTGTGTGTGTGTAAAACTGTACCGTGCATACTTGTTCATCTTTTTTTGTACTGGATAGCATCTTTAATAGTTGATTTTGAGTATAATGCTCCAAATGACTTTAGTCCTTCAAAACTGCCTAGAACAATATTGCTGTTCCTTTTTACAACATTCTCTTGGTTCTGCTCATTTCACTCTTCATTTAAGTCTTTCCATGTTTTTTAGACATCCCCTTGATTCCACTTCTTTGCCACCACAAAGAAAAGAGCTTCTAGAAATATTTTAGAACATGTAAGTACTTTGCCTTTTCTCCCTAATCATCTTGGGAAACAGACCTCCTAATAGTGCTATTGATGAGCCAAAGGGTATACACAGTTTTATAACTCTTTGGACAATCTGATAGGTATAAAATGGTAGTTCAAAGTTGTCTTAATTTGCATTTCTCTAATCAGCATTTTTTCAAGACTGTTTTTTATTTCTTCTAAAAGGCCATTTATTAATTGATGAATGGTTTGTATTGTATGTTTGAGATGAGACCTTTATCTGAAAAACTGTCTAAACATTTTCCCCAATTTTCTACTTCTGACCTTGCGTACATTGTTTTTAATTGTACAAAACCTTTTTAATTTAACGTAATCAGAATTATCCCTTTTATATCTAGTTTTGTTCCCTTATCTCTATTTATAAATTCTGTCCATAACTCTGATAGGTAATATAGGTTAAGATCTGGTACTGCCTAACCTTCTTTGATTATTTTTTATTAGTTCTTTTCATATTCTTGGCCTTTTCTTCCAAATGAATTTTGTTTTTTGTTTTTTTCCCTACCTCAGTAAAATAAATTTTTTGGTAATTTAATTGACTGGCATTGAATAAATCAGTTTAGATAAAATTGTCGTTTCTATTATGTTGGCTCTGCCTACCCATGGACAGTTAATACTTCTCCAATTATTTAAATCTAACTTTATTTATATAAAATGTTTTATAATTATGTTTATGTGCTTCCTGGCCTGGGTTCGTTGTGGTAGGTATGCTCCCACGTATTTTATGTTGGTCACAGTTTTTTTAAACGGGGTATCTTTTTGCAGGGTTTTGTTGGTGATATATAAAAATGCTGATGATTTTTATTACTTCATTGCCTATTCTGATGCCTTCAATTACTTTTGCTATTGCTAGGATTTCCAGTACAATATTGAGTAATGTTGGTGACAGTGGACATCCTTATTTCATTCGTGGTCTTACTGTGAATGCTTCTAGATTATCCCCATTACAAATAATGGTTGCTGGTGGTTTTAGGTAGATGCTTCTACCTTAGGGAAAATAAGTTTTTAAGACTTCCAATTTGGTGTTTAATAGAAAATTTTAAATTTGCTTTTCTAGGTTTTTTTTAATTGCATATACCATTCAATTAATGGTCTGTTCTATTTTATTGATGTAAGTATGTAGAGATAGAAATTTTCCTCTGATTACTGCTTTTGCTGCATCCCATAGGTTTTGATATCTAGTTTCATTGTCTTTCTCCTTAATGAAGTTTTTGATTCTATGATTTGTTCTCTTAAGATTAGGTTGTTTAGTTTCCAGTTGGTTTTTAATCTATTTCCATGGTCCTTATTGAGTAATTTTTTATTTCGTTGTGATATGATAAAGATGCATTTAATTTTTCTGGCATTTAACTGCTTTTTATGCCCTAGTTATATGGTCAGTTTTTGTAAAGGTACCATTTACTATTGAGGAAAAGCTGTATTCCTTTCTATTTCCCATTCAGTTCTATCTGGCTGTCTATCTTGTCTAGCTTATCTAAAAATTCTATTCACCTCCTTGACTTCTTAATTTTTTTTTTGTTTAGATTAATCTAATTCTGAAAGGGGGAGGGGTAAAATCCCCCACTATTATAATACTATTTATTTCTATCTGTAATTTAAGTTTTCCTTTAAAAATTTAGATGCTATAGCATTTGGTACATATAGATTAGTTGATGTTGCTTCATTGTCTATGGTACTTTTATCATAATGTAGTTTCCGTGTTTATTTTTAATTAAATCTATTTTAGCCTTAACTTTGAGATCATAATTGCTAGCCCTGCTTTTTTTTTTATATCCACTGAAGCATAATAAATTCTATGTAGCCCTTTTTTAACTCTGTGTATTTCATTTAATGTGTTTCTTGTAAACATCGTCAGATTCTGATATTTTTAATCCATTCTGCCAGCCGATCTAGTTTTTATGGGTGAAGTCATCCCATTCACGTTCAAAGTTATTGTTTCTAGTTGTATATTTCCCTCCATCCTGTTTTTCCTCACTGTTATCCTTATCTTCTCTTTATCCTCCACACATGTCCAATTTATTTCTAACCACTGCCTCCCTCCCCAATATACACTCTTTAAAGAATCTCTCACTTGTACTCTTTACCCTCCTAGTCCTTGATCTGCCCGCCCCTCTTAAGAGTCTCCTTTATCCTCTTCCCCCCACCCTCCTGCTTCTTGATCTACACACCCTTCTAAAAGTCCCTCCCTTATTCTGTCCCCTAGCCCTTCTATTTCTATATAAATTTAGAAGACTTCTACGTTTGTATATATTATTTCCTTTCTAACCCACTTCTGATGAGAACAAAGTTCCAGAGCTACTAGCCCTCCACCTTCCTCTGTAGCAGTTCCCCCTTTATAGGAAATAATTGTTCTAATGCTCTCCCTACCCAGTTTAGTTTTATGTTTTAGAATCATCCTGTCATACTCAACTCAAACCCAAGCCTTCTATCTATGTAACCTCTTTCAAACTACCCAAGTAATTGGAGTTCCGGGCTTTTTTTCCCCTTTCAGGATTATAATCAGCTTTGCTGGGCAAGTTATTCTTGGTTGTAACCCAGCCCCTTTATTTTTTGAAATAGAATGTTCCACACCTTTTGGTCTTTTAATGTAGAAGCTGCTAGATCTTTTCATTATTTTGCCTGTGTTTAGCTCCATTATGTTTAAATTGTTTTTCTCTTTGACCTGGGAGCTTTAAAACTGGGCTATAGTGTGTATTCCTCTGACTTTTCATCCTGGGATGTCTTTCAAGTGGTGATTGGTAAATTTTTCTTAGGTTTTTGGAACTCTTTCTAATTGGTTGACTTTTCATCATAATTTCCTTCATTTTCTTGGATTGCTTTTTCTCCTCAGCCTCTTATTTTTAAATCCATTTTTAAGTCCATCCAAGAACTCTTTAGCTTGTGACCATCTGACATTTTTCTTTGAAATAGGAGTGGCTTTTTAACTTTCTTTTATCCCCATAGTAACTATCTGCAATTAAGTTCTTTCTTCTTTGCTTTCTTTTTTTGGTGGCAGTCAAGTTCTAGTACCAAGGTGTGTGTGGGGGGTACCTCAGGCTTCAGATTTTTGTACTGTTTTGAGTTCTGTCTTATCTATGACCGGGGCCCCCAGCCATGCTGTCACCAAGGGCTCTTGCTTCCTTTGGGCCCTCCTGTAGCTGCAAACTTGAGCTCATTCCTCTGCCCTGGAACTGAAACCTGGGATTCTGCCCTTCTGCAAGGTCCTTGCCCTCCTCTGCTACCACACCCACTGGGCATGTGCTCACACGTGGTTGCTCCTCCCACAGCCATAGGGACCATTTCTAGTCATCATAATTGGGCCTGGCTTCCCTCAACAGCGTAGGGGCCGTCAGTCTTCCCCCTGCTCGGTTGTTTTGTACCTTGTTTATGGGAGAATTTTGGAGAACCCTGTATTTCCTCTTTCTGCTGTCTTCCCCTTCTCCTTTTCTCTTTTTGCTTTATTATCTCACTTGGGGATTTCATCATGTTCCATGGATTCAGTTATCTTGGCACAGATGATTGTCAACATCTACTTATTCAGCCCTAATCTTTGATCTCAAACTTCATGTCCAGAACAGAATACATCATCTTCCTCCCCCAAATGTAATTGTTCCCGTCTTGTGGTTTCTCCATTGTTGAAGGTATAGTCTTCCGTGATCACGTGAGCTTGTGGCCTCAGACAGATGTCCTCCCTGACTGGCATTGACCCCACAGAGATATCTAGTGTGTTTGTGTCTCTCTTAACTCACAGCTGCCACCCTGGTGCAGGTCCCCGTCACGTCATCCCTCTCCCCCACTCATACTCCAGCGGCTCCCTGTCAACTCCAAACACCTTCACAACCTGGCCTTTTCCAGTTATTTCACTGCCCTTTTGTATTCTTATTTTGCCATTTAGATTGGCCTGCTTCATGTTCTCAAACGCAGTTGATTTTACATTTGCAACAGTCTTTCCCAGACAAGCACATATGCGTATAAACCATTCTGGAATACTTCTCCTCCACACATCTACCTCCTGGCTTCTCTGTCTTCCTTCAAGACTTAGCTCTAATTCCCCCTTCAGGAAGACTTTCTGAGACTCTAGTCCCTCTTCCTTCATTAACTCCATGTTGCTTGCCAGTGAGTGTTGAGAAAATGAGCCCAAGTACCTGGCAAGACTGTCAGGATAGATTCTGCAGAAATCATTTTGTGACACCTTCAGATAGAGGTCTGAGGGGGCAGTGCTTAGCACTGTACGCCCAGCCTTAGGGACTCCATTGTCATAAATGACTAAACTTTGCAGTCAGCCAGTCTGCCAGACGGAATACCAAGAATGATTTCAAATGTACAACTCAGGGAGAGCATGACTTGAATGACCTATTTATGGACTTTTGAGGAGACTCCACCCAAGATAAATTAGTTACTAAGGGGGAAGGGGTTGAGGGTACATTTTAAAGACTGGAAAGCGTTACAGAAGGATTTCCTAACAAGTCTGAAATAAATTTATAGCATAATAGCAAAAAATTCTTGAGTCCCAGAAACATGTATCCCAAATTCTCACCACCTTAAACTTTTGCAAGAAAACCTTTACCTTCTTTCTTTTTCCCTTCTGACCTGTTCTTATATACTTCTCCCTGAGAAGGACTTTTGGAACTGAGTTTGCTCTGCTCCCCTTCTACCCCCACTCTAACCCTTTCTTATGCCCCTTCTGTACCCTTCTAAAAAGCCTAGACACAAATATGAGTGAGACCTGATCTGAAAAATAAAAGGGATTCAAGGTAATGCCCATGAAGATGAATTCGTCAAAAGATTTGTCTTTATCCCAAATGGAGAAGAAATCAGGTTGATTTAACCCCTCTTTCTAAGAAAATTGGGGTATCTAGTAAACTGAGGCTATTCAACCTACTGTGTTGATGTTTCTGGAGCACTGCTTTTATATTTTCTCAGACAGTGACTGATAATAAAAAAATGAAACTGGTTCGGTCAATAGTAGTCCATAATTAGGCTTTAGATTGGCTTTTGTGGCTTATCTTGCCATCAGATAGTGAGAACATAAGTACCCATGGGGCAGTGATTGATTCCTCCTGCCCTGACTGAGGGAAGATAGGTGCCATGAATAACAGTCAACTTCACTAAATCCAGACACCAAAGAACGTAAGAGTCATGTCCTTGTGGGTTTTAATTTTGTTTTGAAGTCCACCAATGACAACAGGAGGGTAATGTCTGGACTTGCGGCAGAGCTGTGCAAAGTTGTCAGCCTCGCTCAGTCATCTGAAGTCCAGTGGCAAGATGACGGATGCCCTGGGTGAACATCTGTTCCCAAACATCAAGTTTACCTTGAAACTTGTTCTCGGGATAAGGGTCATACGTGACCCAAACAGTCGACAGACTACCACCTTCTGAGAACGTTCCACAAGAAGCTGAGAACAAAGAAGGCCATTGGAAGGTACAATGGATGTAGAGCCCTGGGTCTGGAGCCAGGAAGACACCTGGATTTGAATCCAGCCTCAGACACCTAGCTGTGTAATCCTGGGCTGACGTACTTGGCTCACTGCTCATCTGTAAAATGGGGAATTGCACCTACCACTCAGTGGTGTAAGGATCAAAGGAGCTAAGACTGGCAGTGCCTTAGAGATAAAACAGAGCCCTATTAAACATTTGGAAGTGAACCCAGCACTTGTATAAACCTTTGAGTTCCACTCTTAAAGGGACCCCACCCACTCCACTATCCAACCGGAATGGAATTTCTTGATGAGGATTACTTGCCATGTTCCAGGGATGCATGTGCCTTTGGATTGGGGGTCCTTTGTCTTGATCCCCTTACTCTGCTGGGCACCTCTGACGAATGTCACTGTTTACACATAGAAAGTTAATGGGAAGTGGTTTGTGGTGCAAGTTATAAACCAAAATCATCTAAAGTTGGTATTGACCTTTCCCCAGGGTTGTCATTTCTCAGTTTAAAATCAGGAGGCCCGGAATTCAGCCCCAGGAACCGAGTTCCCCTCTGTATGCATCTTATCCAAGGTTGGGTTTTTTACTTTCAAATCCTGAGATGACATTAAGGAAACTAGGGGCAAACTGATTCTTCCCCCCCCCCCAGTCACAATCTAGTGAGGAAGAATTTGAACCGATTTTGGTTCCAGAACACTATCTACTGCACCACCTGCTTACTGTTGCCTTGACATTTTCCTCCATAATCAAACTTAAGGGAAAGTTGTATTCTTTCCCAAATGAAACCCTTACTTCCTCAACCAGCTGCCTGTTTAGTACCTTGATAGGCTGTCGTAGCAGCCAAAGGGATTCTGTTTGTAGCTGCTGACGTCACTGGTTGAGAAGGATTTTAAGGCCTCAGGTCCAAGCCCTAGTTTGTGCAATAGACTGCCACCTACTTGGTTAGTTAGGGAATTTCCCTTCAGGCCTATAGCTTGGAGTCCCATTCCTAGGTAATCCAGCATTTGTGAATACTACAGATGGCCAGCTCGGGAATTAGGAGGCTACTCTTGGGTCCCATCTTGAGGGTCAGGGTACACGAAGATTTTGATAAAGCCCAGACCACTAATGCCACAAAGGAGCTAGGATGGCTGTAGCCATTCTGTGCAGACCTTTTGGTCCCGATATGTAGCTCATGCAACATTTCACAAACGCCCAATGCCCAAGGATTCCCACCATTGACTGTTCCTAGGCTACCCCTACCCTCAGTGCACATTCAGGCACTTCTCTGATTTCTGTTCCCTGTGCTGTTTGCTCTGCTCCATCATACTCGGCACCTACCTGGAAACACTGAGCAGGCACTTCACTCCATAATCCTCTCCTACTTCAATACAGACCTGCTATCTCATTCTTTCCAGAGAATCTGGCTCTGAAAAGCCATGCAATGAGTTTGTAATCACCCGTTTTGCCAGTTCAGATTAAATCCTTTTCTGTGGTCCACCTACAAGTGCTGCTGCTGCCCTAGCTGCCTCCTACATTGTTTATATCCCACTTAACTTCTGACCATGAGCCAGCCAAGGTGGCAGAACCTATTCCCCTAACCCACGCCTGCCACCTTGTGTCTGATGTTTCTGTTAACACTTACACAGATTATAAATGGGCGTTTGTGACGTGCTACTTTCACATTGGGCAAGATCTGGAAGAACTGGATTCCTTAGTCTTGCCATCACCTGGTCATCCCATATCCACCTAGTAGCCTAAGCTGAGGCCATCCATCTATGCACCATGACCTTGAACACCGTCCAACACACACCAGTACAATGGAGGAGGAAATTTGGGGGCTGCCAAGGCTGCCGTTGACATTAGTATCCCTCTGCCCTTTATCCTCATTGCTATATCCCTTGGTCTGTGAGGGACCACATCTCTGCCCACCATCCCACCCTTTATCTGAAACATGAGAAATGGAAACCCATGTCTTGTTGAGCCCTCCCATCTGGCTTCATAGTCCAAACAAGCTTCCTGCCAGTCAGTGCCCCCTTCTCTACTGATATTTACGTCCCATCTAATGAGCCATATGTGCAGAGGCAGAAGGATGAGTATAAAAGGTTTGGTCATAACAGTCATAAATTTTGTTTCTGTTACAAAACAATGGGCAACCTGGAAAGAGTTCCACTGTAGCTCAGGAGAAGGGATTGATGAAAGCATCCCTCTCTGAGCAAGTATACCCTTCAGAGCACGACAGATCAGTTTCATTGCTTGTTGGTTATTGTTTTTGTGTTTAGTGGATGGTAGAATGTTAGCTTGCTAAAGCTGATTTTTTTTTTGGTGAGGTAATGGGGGCTAAGTGACTTGCCCAGGCTCACACAGCTAGTCATTATCAAATATCTGAGGCCACATTTGAACCCGGGTCCTCCTGACTGTAGGGTAGGTGCTCTATCCACTTGCCACCTAGCTGCCCCTGAGCTGATTCTCATCAAAGTAGCAAAGAAATGGGCCTCCAATTTATTTCCCAATTTGGGAGCCAACCAAGGGACCTACTTCACCTCCAGTCTTAATCACAAGATGGCTAAAGCCCTTGTATTCTCTTAATTCACACTCCCTACCATCCCTGATCCTCTGGACATGTAGACCAAGAGAACCTGGACATTAAATGAGTATTGTGAAAGGTCTGTAACGATTCTGAAATGGCTGGTAGTCATACACCTGGCTTTCTTGAAGTTGTGCAACGCCCAAGGCGGGAAACATACTTTGTTGCCTTTTGAGCCATGCCACCTGGCCTACCGTTGGGGTATGAATTGAGGGAGCCACAAGCTGTATCCTGTCCTCTAACTGGCATTCTTTCTTGTTTGTGCAGAAAAGCCCAGGATGCCTGGATGACGCCTAAAACACAACCCTTTCCCAGTATCTGGCCCAGAAACCAAGTCCAGATCAAATTCGCCTTTGGAAGTCCTCTGTAGAACTTTGGTGGGAAAGGCCCCTATTGAGTTGTTCTGACAAGTCACGCTGCAATAAGAGCCAGAGGAAAAGCTGTGTAGATAGTTGCGAGCCAAGCCCGAGGCTCTCCTTTTCTGGGTGCATTGTCAGTAGGAATTGGGTCACCTTAGATAGATTCTGTGGAATCCCACCCTTTATTTCCTTAACTATTAGTGCTCTTGGCATTTACCCTGGTCCTGTGGCTAAACTCCAGACTAATGTAAATCGCATCCATGCCCACAATGAAGCAAGAGATGATGAACATACGCGTCATTGTCATCACGGTGCTCCTACGACTTGGCCTGGCAGCTCATGCCCTTCCACAGCATCCCTTTATCACATCGATACAAAGGGCCGTTACTGCTGCAAACTTAACAGATTGCTGGGTCTGTTATAAAGTGGGTAATATGGAAAGTGAGGTTTCCCTGATCCCCATTCCAGCTCCGCTCTCCCACTGGGTCAACGAATCCATATACGGCGTGTATTACTCTTCCTCCTACTCTAAATACCAGTATCTGTGGAGATACACAGGCCGGCCCCTCTCCCCTGAATATGGGAAAGGACTGAAATACAAAGTACACGTGAGCCGCTCCTTTTACACTTACCACATTGCAGGACGTCCACAATATCGAATACAACACCGAGGTCAGTATCCGCTGTGTATCCAAAATGACAATGGAACTGTGTACTTGGGCGATGTTCCGGAGGAGAGATGTGCCCAGACTCTGTGGTTTGATACTGATGATGGCACGTGGGAAGTGGACCCTGGGTCCAACAGCGGAGGAAACCTAAAATGCGGGAAGACCTCCCCGATGACATTCTGGGGGAAAGAGAGCTACTCCAACTTCACCGTCCTCCCCCTCAATTATACCTCTGCTGGCTGGGAAAGTGAAACAAAGAACTATCATAATGACACTTTGTATGTGCTCGCTGAAGGGGGAGAGATTGTCCACGCAAGCTTCAATATGTCAAGCTGCCCTGGGGAAGGATCTTTTGTCAACTTTACACTTTTATACCAGATGTTTGAGTCTATACTTTGTGCCTATAATGACACCCCTTGGCACCATTTGACCCATTTGTGGAAAAACTTTGACAAGCGATGCCCGTGGTACTTTGAAACAGGTACTCTGATGATACAGGGGAAAGAACGATGGTCACCAAATTCCACCTGGGCCCAATATTCTGGCAACAGGCTTACTCTGTCCCTAGTGAGAGTGCCGGGGCTTTATTTCATTTGTGGTGATTATGCTTATAAGGCTTTACCTCCAGGGTGGGGAGGAACATGCACCATCGCTTATCTAGTCCCTGATCTACAGATTCACAAGACCTTGACCTCTACATCTGTTCCCAACCCCGGGAGCTTCATTAATCGGTTTCATAAACGTACCACTAATCCTTTGGCTGAGAAACCCTCAGGATTCCATGCTTTTGCCCGAGCCTTGTTCCCATGGCTTGGGATTTTGGAAATTGAGAAGGCAATAGTGAATATGTCTGCAGCCGTGGAAGAAGGCTTCAGCGCCACCCTGGATGCCATTTCCAACCTGCGGCTGGAGGTAGACCCCCTGTCCCAGGTGGTGGTTCAGAGTCGGATGGCGCTAGACATGAAACGGGCGCAACAAGGAGGAGTTTGTGCATTTATCAACACCATGTGTTGTTTCTATGTTGATAAAAAGAACCAGATAAGTCAGAATGTTACCAAGTGGAAAACCTTAATGAACACAGACCCCGAGTAGTCCTGGCTTGGCGAGACTCCAAAGGAGCTCGGGGGAAACAGTGTAGGATGCAAGCAAGAGTGCCCTCGCCTCCATGGAGGGCCCTAGGAAGTGCCTTAATGTGGCTAGCCTTAGTAGAGACTCAACTGGTCTCTGTCTATTGCAGTATGCTGCCTGTCGCCTGTCATTTCTGCTACGGTGCTGAACCTTCTAGTACAAGGGCTACCAAAAACCAAACCCATGCTTGAAGAGTCACTTTCTAGTTGGTGGCTCCCCTACTTAGCTTTGAGTAATCTTTCCTTTTTCAGCTGGTCCCTGAAGTTACTGACCCAGCTGGTAGGTGAGATTCTCCCTGGGCTCTTCTGGATTTCAGGTTGAGAGATTCTCAATCAGTTCCTTTATTAGACTGCAAGCTCCATGGGAGGGCTGCCATATACATTTTGTAGCTTCCACAACATTCAGCAGGGCACTCTGTACGCAGTGTCTGCTTAATAAGTACCGTATCATCCAATTGTTGCTTTTTTTCTGATGAAAAATAGTGTAAAGGGACGTACAGTTTGACTTAAATACTTCTGAAACTTGTAATGATTTTATAAGTAAAAAGTTGTTTTTAAAATGAAACATTTTCACTCTTAATCAAAAAATCAGATTTAGAACTGGAAGGGACATTACAAGTTATCTTGTCTAAGTCTGTCATCCATTCTCTCCCTTTCCCCACATCCTCAGTTTTATAGAGGAGAAACTGTTGAAATTATTTGCCATAAGGAGTGAACCTGACAGAACCTGAATTAGAACATAGGTCTTCTGACTCCAAATGCAATTATTTCTTGAGCTACTTTGCATCCTACTTATACATGGGTAGATGGAGAGCTTTCCATGGTGTGCCTCAGGGAACCTTTTAGTCAAAATAGAGTGAATTACCCTTGTACATGCTGAAACGTGCTGCCCCCAAATATTTCTGATACAGAATTTAATATGCAGTCTTTTGGAGAGAATGATGCCACTAATATCACTATCTTCTTTTGGGGCCCCTTAATCACAACCCTTTGACCATTAGATTTCACTGGACAGTCCCTGCAAGGAATGTCCCCCTAAGGAAAAATTCTGTTACATAGAGAGATACTGTAAGAGCCAAAAGCAAGGCAACATTATAAATACAAGATACAGGGATAAGCAATTGTATCATGGCTCCCATTATGACTTGAACAGCACCCTTCAGCATTCTGGGGTTGGGGGGGCAGGCAGTTCGAATGTATTTCCTCTGAGGAGTTGCCATGAATCTTGACAACTGGTGGAGTGGACACATGTTTGCAAGGATCTTGAGGCAGGCATGTGGAGCAGGGTTGACCAGCGGGTCTCGAGGCCAAGATCCACCTTCATCACATTTCTGCAGATTGTGAATGTAAGCTTACACATCTGCTCTGCATCTCTTCCCCCTTGTCTATAGATTACTGGGAAGATGCGGAATGGCCTTCAGATTTTAGCCTTGCTTAACCACATACTAACTGGAAGGATATTAGGGATGTTGGTCTTTCATTTCACTGGTTTAAGGAATTTCCAGGCTAGGAAATGCTTTCTACCAATGCAGGTTGGCAGCTTAGCGCACTGACAGAGGAAGGGGCTTGTCCCAGGGCCTGACAGCCAGAATATATCAGAAGCTGGGTTCGAACATGCCTATTCCTGTCTTCAGGGATAGATGTTTTTTCCGACATGCCATATTTGGGAATAATAATTGAAGGGCAAGTTGTTTTCCCTATTGAATCAAAATATTTTATGTACTTTGAATCAAAGTCGCATCAACACCAAGACTGGGTGATTGACAAATATAAAAAGTCATTCCAAAATCTGAATAAATGTTTGAGGTTATACAGAAATAAGACCTGAACCCTAATATCTTTTTCCTCTTGGGAGAAAATGCTATGAAAAAAGATGAGATCATAAATAAGGCCCAGTTTGGCAAATAGCAAAACAGGGAATTTACTCTACCAAGGTGAGACAAATTAGATAGAAAACTCATCCCAATTTCTGCAAGTCAGTGCTGAAATGGAGGCATTCCTGGAATCGCCAACACCCCCAACCTCTTCTGTGGCTTTTGCAAAATTTGCCTCAGTTTGATGTTAAGTAATTTCTTTGTGCACAGGAATCCTGAAACAAAAGTAACAAATATTCAGCTTACATTCAGTTTTTAAATATGAAAATCACAACACCAAGCAGAATAGTATTCGTGGGTTGGTCACTCGTTTAAACTGTGGGCTAGCAGTTCAGTTCAAGTGCCACTGAATCCCGGTGTCCTTTTCTTCTGAAGTTCCTGTGCTGAACTCTTCACAGTTTAGTGACACTTTTTATCCAGGATATAAAAGCCGAGACTTTGGTATAAACACCTGGGGAATCCTTCATGCCACAGCCGTAACCCCAGGAAGTGACTCCATACACAGCCCAGCTTTCTCCTGGCCGTTGGCACATCAGAGGGCCTCCGCTGTCTCCCTGGCAGCTGTCCACGTGGTTCTGCTCCTGCAGACTTCCAGCACATAGCATCCTCCCTGTGAACCGACTCTGGTAGCGTTCTTCACAAAACCTCTTGGGAAGTAAGGGGATGGCTGCTTGCTGCAGGGTCCTCGAGTAGGCTTGTCCTGCCCAGACAGACCAAACAGCAGGTTGAGTCAACACCCAGCTACACAGCGATGGTTCAGAGATATGGGAAGCCCTGTGTGCCATGAGAAACTACCCTACCCTTTGGACTACTGGGATGACAACAGATTCCTGCCCACCTTTGTGATGTCAGTCTCAGGCATTGATAGGCTTAGCAGGGTAGCAGGACTCCCACCAGAAGAAGGCCTATACGGTTTGGATCAGAGATCTAGAGCTGGGTGGGCGGCTGGCTCATTCAACCTCCTCATCTGACAGACAGGGAAATGAGGCTCCCAGGGGGACATAGTAGTAAGCATGAGAGGGAAGATTTGCACCCAGCTTCTCTGGTTCAAGAGTCAGCCATGTACCATGATCCCCCCCCAGCAGGTACTCAATGGAAATGCTTCAGAGCATGTTAGGATTCTAGCTTTTCAGAACTGATATTCCCTGAAGGAAGATTTCCCTATCATCAAATTGGGCAATCATCCCTGAAAAGATTTCACATCACTAAAATAAATGGTAAGTGGCAGTGTATGATTCTGGATGGAAATCCCGAAGATTCTGAGATGCAGTGAAGTTTTGAACACCGGCCTTGGAGTTAAGACCCAGGTTCAAATACTGCCCAGAACAGCTCTGTGTTTCAGTTTCTTCTTCTATAAAATGAGGACATTGGACTCGGCCTCTAAGATCACTTTCCCCTGGAAGTCTATGACAATATGACCCTCTGTCCTTGCCTGGTAAAGTGTAAGGATTTAATATGCCCCCTTACTCTTTCTCATATAATTCCCCCATGTATATCCTCATGGATCTGTGACTCATTGGAGAGCTCCCTCCATCCGTAGAGGTCATAGTGGCCGGGGCTCAGCTGGACCCCGATGCTTCTTCTCAGGCTGCAGAGACTGCACAGGGATAATTCAAGTCCTGGACAACGGAATCTCAGCTCCTGGGCCACCTACTGGGCATAACCCAGCATGCAGAGGGGAATGCTTTTTGGACCTTAGAGGCCAGTCCCTTCATTTTAGATGATAAAATGTTTAATCAGATCAGCTGTTGGGCAGCTGCCCAATCCTTTTGTTTTCCACAGGAGAAGACTTAAGGTCAGATTAAACAACTTGCCCAGGGTCACACAGCTAGTACATATCAGAGGTGGGATTTATCTTAGGTCTTCCTACCTCCGTGTCCAACAGTGGACACTACCGTAATGCCTCCTGTCATCTTATGGCGAGCCTGCCACCCTGAGCATTTACTCTTTTTTTCTACTGTTAATTCAGCTTAGTTGATTTCAGCCTCTTCACTAGAAGGATGAGCACTAGATGATAGAATTTTTTGGCAAGGGTGACTCATAAAACTGGCAGTCCTATGTGTGGCCTCTTCTGCTTCCCCAGTGGGACTGTATGGAATAGTGAAGAGAATACTGCCCTGAACTCCAGAAGACCTGGGCTGTAACCTTGGCTCTTGATCCTTACCAGCTATAACTGAACAAGCCACGCACAGCTCAGGCCTCAGTTTCATGTAAAATGGGGAACGTAATGACCACAATACCCCTTGAATAGGTGGTCTAGGCTCAAACAAAATAACACACAGAGAGCATATTTGGGACCTTGAAGTGCTCTGTGAAGGTCAGCTGTGATTGCGATGACTTCCTTGCCAGGGTTCACTCAAATCAGGGCTGAGCTTTTGAAAGTAAGTGACCCAAGTCATGCTCCCCCTGGCAGGGATTAAGGAGTCTAGAAACACACTGGCACTCAGTCACACCCTGGCAAGAAGAACGCTTGATAAGATGTCATTAGGTGGTATCTGTCATCAGTCCTAGGTGCTGTGTGTGACTAGAGGCCCTCTGATGAATTTGGGCAAGTCCCTTTTCCTCCCTAGGCTTCAGTTTCCTTCTCTGGAGAATGAGGATGGGGGTTGATGTAGAGAGGCTGAGGTCCCTTCCAGCATTGCCTCTGATTGCATGCATGCTTTTCTTGGTGAATGTTGATGTTTGGGCAGGAACCTCAGCCTCCCATTAAGCTGTGCTTTGTCTGAGAAGATGCAGAGACTCACGGCCCCTATGTCACGGGGCTGAATCGCCGTGGCCTCAGCCCGGGACAGCTTAGGGAGGAACAGCTAAGTTGAATACTTTGAGGAGGGGAGAGCCCTGCCATGGAGTCTTGATGTCCTTGGAAACATGAGGTCACCCACAAAGAGACAGGCACACCACCCAGGGTCACCAAGGTACACTCCAGGGAATCTATCTACCGCGCTATGAAATATCCCCAGAGATCAACCAGGCACTGACACAGGGGACCTAGTAAGGCTCCTGGAAACAGAAGAGTAAGAACCCGAGAGAGGAGCGTAAGCCACCAGGTACAGCTGGTCACCTTGTTCCAGAGGAGAGGCCATATGGAAATTATCTGGGCCAGACTGTGGGTAAAAAGGAAATGAGCCAGAGAAGTGAGAAGCTCCCCAGAAACTCCGCCACAAGGTCACATTAACATGTTAAGTGGCTGGCACTCACCCGTGTCTCCCCATCCAGTGATATAACAGTTGGGCGCAGTCTTCTGTGGCCTCTCTCGTCTGAAGGGCAGGCAGGCAGGCAGAACATGGCTGTTGAATGTGGCACACTGCTCCTCTGGTCCCTGCAGCCTCACCAAGGCAATGTCATAGTCACTGCTGTCCGGCCTGTACTGCCGGTGAATCACAATCTGCTGGACCTCGAGCTCTTCTTCAAACTCCTCTGGCACCAGGGTGTGATAGTCCCCAACTCTGACGATGTAGTTCCGAGTGTTGTTACCATATCTGAAAGTCAGGGGAAGGGGCACACTGAAAAGTGGTGATTGTGAGAAGACTCATCAAGCAATCATTAAGAACTAACTATCTCCAAAGTTCTGGGCCTAACCTCTAGGACAGGCACAAGGCTACGTGTGGCCCGCTAGGTCCTCAGGTGTGGCCCTTTGACTGAATCCAAACTTCACATATTTGTTTCTCTAACAGAGAAGAACTCTATGGCTCAGACCAGCAGTAATGGTGGCCCTCACCAGTCAACTGGCAGGGCTCTACTTTTGCCTTGACCCTTGGCCCTTCTCACTAATTACCACCTCAGTCTAACCTCGGGGAAGTCTTTGAGTAATTGATGGGCTAGAATGCAAGGGTAAATCCATGTGTAAATGTAAACATTTTATATCACGTGTGAAAGGGGATCACAGGAGTTTCTAGAGCTGGAAGGGATCTCAAAGATTTAGCTGAGGAAAGTAAGGCCCATAGAGGTTAAGTGAGTTGTCCTAGGTCACACAGGAAGTACATACCAGAAGTGGGATTTGAACCCAGGGCCCCGACTGAGGAGTCACTACTTTTCCCGTAGATCACAAAGCAACGCTACATGAAGCACCTGTGGGGAGCAGGTCAGGGTTCTGGCCATGGACAGAGAAGGAACAAAACACTGCTGAACTAGACATTCTCTTCTGAACAGAGCCTAAGCCCTGGTATCTTGGACACCACAGCTCTTAGAAGGGTTCCACACCCACACCCAACATCCACTGGTGTGGTCATTTCTGTGGCGAAGTTGTTCCTTAAAACTAAAGGCTTCCTGCAGGCAGGCATGGCACCCTAGAGAAACGGCCCTGGGGTCCAGCAGACCTGAACTGTAGTCCTGATGCTGACCCACTGGCCCAGCCCTGGGCAGGTCACTTAATTGAGATTGAGCTGCAGAAGAGCAGCAGACCCACGTTGGTAGAGGGAGCTTTCTGACCCCAGGAAAACCCAAGGGCCAGTGTCCAGCCAAACCCCAGACTTCCTGTATCACACCTACACCCCGACAACACCAGGAAGGCTTTGCTGCGGGCAGCCAGTCATAGAGGCCTGACGGCATTTGTTGTCTGAGCTCTTGCAGGGGACATCCCTGAGCCCACAGGGCATCTCCCCTCTCCATATCACGAGCAGCAGCTGTGTCCAGCACTGGATGCCCGAGGCCAAGAGATTGCCTGCAGTGCCAATGACAGCTTTCTTTAAAGTTTGCGAAGCGGTTTACAAGCATTAACTCCCTTGAGCCTCATGGCCACCCTAGGAAGCAGGTGCTATTCTTATCCTGATTATTATTATTATTATTTTTAACAAATGAAGATGCTGAGACAAATAAGTTAAGTGACTTACCCAAGGTCACACAGCTAGCAAGTATCCGAGGGTAGCTTTGAACCCAGGTCTTCCTGCCTGTCGGCCCAGCGCTCTATTCACTGAGCCACCTAGTACATGAATACCTCTCCTTTCTTCCCCCCTCTCATGCCAGGTGTGGATCTGTCAGCTTTCACCAGACCCCTCCCTCACCAGCCTGAGGGGAATTAACAATATCTCTTAAACAGAAAAATCTTCTGTCATCTCATACGCTATCAAAATGAAGTTCCCTTTCCATCCCCTAGTGTCTTGCATATCCCAGTTCTATGCAGCAAACTCACCAAGCCCGTCCTCCATTTACTGAGATTATAAATGGAACAGATGTCATGCTTGGAATTCAGAGAGCGTGATAGTGGATTAGGCAGGGTGCCGGCCAAAGATCTGTCATCTGGTGTCAGTGATCCCAGGGCATGTGGTTACACACGAAAGGGACCACGTTCTGGCTGAGGCACAAGCCTGTTAGGCAGTGACTGCTGAAAGTCTTCATTAGTGTGTCTGGAAGTTAGGAGGGGAACTTGCAAAGGATTCCTTCCTGCCAAATAATAATTTATGAGTGACTCTCTAGCCGGCCTGCTGCGATTTTAATAACCTTTGTTTATCAAAGTCAAACATGGCAGGTTTGGGGTGCTAGCTCTCTCACTCTGGTGTGTCCTTTGTCCAAAGGAGGGAGTGAAGGAATGAGTGAAAAGTGCATTTATTAAGCATTTTCTGGAGGCCGAGCCTTGGAGATAGCAAAAATTGCCTGACATTTCCAAACAGATTTTGGCTAGGAAACATCTGACACAGCAACCTTGTGAAAGTCAGTATCCCTGTTACTTGCTCCTTGGGACAGGGACTAAAATAGATGCAAATTATTAGCTTTTCCATGCAGACAGCAGGGCTAAATTGTCTCTGCTTGCTCATTTTCTCCAGCATGCTATTGACAGCAGCCAGGACCCAGGTACCTGCCGGGCTCTGGCGTTGTTCTGGTACACATCAGGGCCTTCTGTCCATGTGGAGGAAGGCATTTCAGAATTCTGCTAAATATGGAGCTGAAATGATGAGGGGACAGAGCCTATCTCACGTCCCATCCTGCACGGAAGCAGGACAAACATTTGTTAGTGGCTGAACGGACAAGTAATGAGTGGAAGGTTTGAGGCTTGGGGTCCATACCTACAGCAGCACACCAGGTGGGTGACCGGAAGGAGGAGACACAGTAAGATGCCTCCATCACCATGGGGATCACTCCACTTTCATCATGACAGATGTGGGGAGAAAGGGAAGAGATGTCCGAGCCAGCCACCTGGGAAAGGAGAGGAGGATGTAGCCTGTTGGGTACCTGACCACAATCCGGAGGGACAGCTGCTCCTTCCCAGCTGGCTCCACACCCCACTTTGGATGTTTGCTACCTAGAGGTCCTCGGGCAAGCTAATTCATCTCCATGGGCTTAAAATGTACCTGTGCGTGTGTAGGTATATATACACATTATATATAGATACACACACACACACACACAATTTATTATGAACTGAAGAAACATCAAATAACACATGTTACATTTTATTGACTCTAAGCTTGGGAACCCTCCCCCGCCGAAAGTGAGCATCTCCACATATGAGGCAGAACAGGAAGGGGTGCGCATCATTTCGCGGGTGAGATAACTGAGGCCCAGAGCAGGACAACGACTTGCTAGAGCCCGCACAGGAAGATGCGTGAGCCTGGAATTAAACCCAGATCTTCTGACCCCTCAGTGGAGGGCTCCTCCCGCAAGCAATGCAATGAAGGCAACCGCTGCATTGGCCGTCGCTGAGGACCGCATCTCCCGCGCTTAAATCTTGAGCTTATGAGGCAGCTGCGTGGCAGGATCAAAACAGCACATACTTCACAGGGTTGCTGAGCGTCACATGAGACGGCAGACTTCAAGCGCTCTGCAAGTCTTTTTTCTTGTTGTTCAGTCATTTTCAGTCATATCCAACTCCCTGTGACCCCATCTGGGGTTTTCTTGGCAGAAGTACTGGAGTGGTTTGCCATTTCCTTCTCTAGCTTGTTTTATAGATGAGGAAACTGAGGTAATCAGGGTTGAGTGACTTTCCCAGGGTCACACAGCTAAGAAGTGTCTGAGGCCAGATTTGAACTTAGGAACATGAGTCTTCCTGATTTCAAGCCCCATGCTCTATCCACTGCATCGCTTAGTCTGTATAAATCTTAAAGCCACATAAATACTGGTGATTACTACTAAATCAACAAGACCTCACAGGGAGGCATCTAGTAGGTGCTTAATAAATGCTTGTCGGCATCACAACAGGAGGGCTGGATCTAAGCAGTGTTTCCATGCTTCAGGGGTCAGGGTGTTCCGTAAGCCTGTCCCCAAGAACACACAAGATCAGGATGTCTCATTCGGATCAGTCCATCAAAGGAATGAATGAGATGCTGACCCAGCCTGGGCATCTCTACTGAGTCAATCAATAAACTAGTTGGGAGGAGGAGAAATGTTTTAGCGGGATTGGGTGAAAGCGTATGACACGACACAGAAAAATGTCTTATGGTTGGGTGAGAAGAAGAAGAGTCAGTTCTGCCCTGTGGGGCTGAGCCAGTTCAGAGTCTGACCATGACTGAGTGGTCTAGAGGTGGTGTAGGTCCATCCAAGCTCTTGGGAGGGAATCCATTGGGAAGGAGAAGGTCCGAGGAGAGAATCTCTGCTTCCTCCTCCTCCTCTCACCCTATTAATTGGAGGAGAACACTGTCAACTTTGACAGATGGAAGACCAGGTCTCAGTGGTAGCATCCACCATAGCTAGGATCAATGTGTCCCAGAAGGGAACCAGAGACAAAGTAGGTACGTTGAAGAAAGATAACTTCCAGGGCATAAAAGGAGCAGAAAGCTATACCATGTTTACATTCTGAATAAAAACATTTTCAAAAAATAAACACTTTTTTAAAAGTGCACTGAAATATATAGAGAATTAAGACAAATTTATAAGAACACAAGCCATTCCCCAATTGATAAATGGTCAAAGGATATGAACAGACAGTTTTCAGATGAAGAAATTAAAGCCATCTATAGTCATAGGAAAAAATGCTCTAAATCGTTATCGATTAGAGAAATGCAAATCAAAACAATTCTGAGGTACCACATCACACCTATCAGATTGGCCAACATGACAAAACAGGAAAATGATCAAAGTTGGAGAGGATGTGGGAAAATTGGAAATCTAATACATTGTTGGTGGAGTTGTGAAATGATCCAACCATTTTGGAGAACAATTTGGAACTATGCCCAAAGGGCTACAAAAATGTGCATACCCTTTGATCCAGCAATAGCACTTCTAGGGCTATATCCCAAAGAGATCAAACAAGTGGGAAAAGGACCCACATGTACAAAAATATACATAGCAGCTCTTTTTGTGGTGGCAAAGAATTGGAAATTGAGAGGATGCCCATCCATTGGGGAATGGCTGAGCAAGTTGTGGTATATGAATGTAATGGAATACTATTGTGCTATAAGAAATGATGAACAGGCTGACTTCAGAAAAACCTGGAAAGACCTATATGGTCTGATGCTGAGTGAAGTGAGCAGAACCAAGAGGACTTTGTACACAATAGCAGCCACGTTATACAATGACTAATATTGTTAAACTGAGCCCTTCTCAGCAT